TCCAGAACATCGGTTCATCGATTTTCAGCAATGGTCGTTTTGATCAAAAAAACATATCTTGGAGACTTGTTATCGTTATTACTACTATTATCATTGTTACTATGATTACTGTCTATAATCATTCCATATATATATATATAAATATATAAATAAATAAATTATCTACAAATATATACATATATACATAATTCTATATTATTATATGTTTCAAACAAATGCAGTGCGGCACGATTCGTGGTGTGAAAAGTCAACAGCTGGAGTCGACCCAACGGCAAGGAAAAAACGTGTCCAACAAAGCCCTCCGTGGACACCGTAGATGCTGAGGCGCTATCCAGGCCCACCAGGCCCACACTTTGCAAATGGTTTCTGGGATTTTCTGGGTAAGACTTCAATTGTTCCTTGAATATCTTTATGCATAATTTTTCAATGACCTGTTCCCGAAACCCTAAAGTCCTTTGACTATCAAGAGGGTGTTTTGCGTCAGCGACATGTTGATGTACAGGTTCGATTTTCTCTGTTTGGCGGCACAGATCAAATCAATATTTCTCACGTTCAGTGCAAAAACGGTCGTTTTTGTCGTTTTTGTTTCCAAAAAGTGACTGGGCACTCGTTTCATTCTGCGGTTGCCGACGTGGCATCCTTGGGGAGCTGTGCTGTTGAACGAAGATGGAACCGCTCCAATCCATCCGAACCCCCCTGGTGTTTTAGAACGCAGCCTTTTACATCCGACGCGACGGCCAGTCCAACAAGGAACCCAGTTGCATCAGCCAGAAGTAAAGAAAACGATAAAGTCGCTCCCTCACCAAGCCATAGTTCGCACGCAAGACGTTTGCACAGGTCTTCGCACGCTTGCAGGTTTCAAACATCTCCAAAACGTTGGGCGTTGATCCTTTACATTGCGATGGGAACGGTACCATTCCTCTGGCCCCACACTGGAAACCCTCGCAGTCCCCATCCACAGCAGCCCTGACCTATCCACAGCGGCTCCCTTTTCCTCGAAATTTCTCCGAGCGCGTCGCATCTTTAGCCACGGGCAAAACGGGACAGGACTGGCCAACTCTCTGGAGATATCCACCAATTCCGGTACATCCTTGATATAAACTTGTGATCCGTAGCTGATATCTACCTCATTACTTTTCAGGTGTCCAACTGTTAGCATCTACTTTGGGTTAAACACTGCCGTTATTTTTTAAGAACTGCAGTATACCTTATTTGGGGACGCAGATCCCGAGTCATATACCCAGTTCGATTGGTGAAATCCCCATGTTTGGTGATTAAAACCGCATTTTTGGACCAACCCATCTACTCCTCATGGATACTGACTATTGATATGGTTGCATTTAAATGATTCGCCAACTCGATATTTCTCCTCTTAACAGTCCCTTTATTCACCATCTCTCTATGATAGTGGTGACAGGCCCCCCCTATTTCTATTGGTTAAAGTTTAAAGCCTCTGTTTTTTGCTTTTTCAGCCCTTCTTTGCCAGATCGTGACCCCGTTGCTATGTTTCCACCCTTTGGAAAGTGGCCATGTCTTCGCACTACCTCAGGGCATACATCTTCACTGGAACCAAGTCGTTGGGCCAGGCGGCCTCTACAGCTGGCGGTGGGGAACTGTGCACAGACAAAAGATATAGAAAGAATGACGTAGACATAAGAAAGAGGTCCATGATATTGATATGGATATAGATATGATGTAGATATAAAACATGGATATAGATATTGGATATTCAATATTAGATATTAGATTTACTTTTGGATGTACTGCAGATCAGCGCAGAGATTGGGATGACAGGGTCCACAAATGTGCAATCGGTAGCCTCTGGAAATCAAACATGGCAACGGAGAATCCCCAGCTAAATGTGGGTTTTATATGGTTTTATATGGTTTTATATGGTTTTATATCATAGTAAATTTAACACGGACCGTGAAAATAAGCCATGTTTAATGGAATCTTCCAACCCCTACCTTCCAGGGTCTATGTTAATTTACTGGAGGGTATATCATAGTAAAATCATCTATAAATGGGTGATTTTCCATTGCCATGTTTGATTACCGGAGGGTTAACCTTGGGTGGTTTGATTGAGGGCCCAAAAATGATCCGCGCATTTGTAGCTTCTTGAAAGCATCATGTTGGGTGGCAATACAATACCTGTATAAATGTCATTATTGCTGTCTGACATCTCCATTTTGGTGGTTTATGTCGCTCATTGCGGTTTGTCCAATCCTGCTTTTCGGGCTATCTTTAATTAAATCATGGGATACCATGCAATGACATCCCCAGCTATTGATCATCAGTTTTCACAGTTTAGACCCATATGCAAAAAAAAAATATCCATTCAAATCAATCAACAATCATATATATATATACATATATATATATATATATATCAATGATCTCCCCACATTCTTCAAGGTTAAAACCTTATATTTGATGTCTAAAGGCTATTTCTAACCCGTCAACCTGGATTTTGGTCAGCAACGATGAAAATTCCACCGATGTGCAGCGGCTCCGCCTGACGTCGTTCCTCCAGAAGCACCAGCCCGGCTTTTCGGAAGATCTCCTGCGGAACTTTGGGCTTTTTTGAGGCCTGAAAGGTGGAGGGAAAGGTGGAGGGAACTAGATCTAGAACTAGATCAAATCGATCAAATCGATCAAATCCACGAAAATGACCACGAAAATTGGATCTTCGAGGAATCCCTCGATGTGTTTTGATACTGACACATAACTTAACGCATCAAAATGACCAGGGAATCGGCTAAGTCTGATATCATCCCAAGGAGATCCGCGATCGAAAAATCGCCCATGGTTTTGGGCATTGGTTGCCCGAAAAATCTATGGGCGGTGTTAGAACATACCTGGAACATAGCGAACTGGAAAGATCCACCATATTTTTCATGGGAAAATCCACGAACTTTCTAGGGTCATGTTCAATAGCGAACCGTTGAATTACCTGGAATGTATCATCCGTTTTTTTCGAGACATCGAATTTCCGAAATGATCTACATCTCTCCCAATCGTCTAAACTGCTTCTTATCCGCAATGTCTTATCCCCATACCCTCTGGTAAACTAACAGTTCGCTATGGAAAATCACCAACTTAATAGGTAAGTCAACTATAAATGGGCCATTGTCAATAGCAAACCGTTAGTCATTACCAGAGGGTACCCGTTTAACACGAAAAAAGAATTCCGCTGGCCTGTCCTTGTACATGGCATCGCTGCGGGAGATACTATTGTCATCCCGATCCACCGTCCAAGGCCTGGCCATGTTGGATTTCACCGTTGGATTTCACCATCAACCATGGGGAAATCCAAAACCACGAAGCGAATATTTTTCAGTGTGAACGGTTTTGGTGCCCAAATCTGAATCTAACCTGGCACAAAAGAAATCTATGAACAAATCCTGTTCACTAACAATTTTATTATTAAAACCGGTTATTAAAACCGGTTATTGGCAACGGCCATGTTTATTGGAGAGCCAGAACTAGACAATGTGAGGGAGATGGATTCTGGTCACCATTCAACGCCCCAGCCGCGGAACAGTTGAGGCCCTGAGGATCCATGTCGTTAAATACACCAAAAATAGAAATGTAGTCAAAATACAGCTACGTCTCCGTTAACGCTTGATTTTGGTTACATTTGCCGGAACCTGTCGGAAATCCATCGGATTTTGTCGGAAATCGAGAAAAACCGCAGGCATCCTCTATTTGTAAGATGCGCATGCGAGTTGATCATGGTCATATGCAGTTCAAAATCGTGACAAATCGTGATGAATTATCTTTTTTGCCACTTAAAATTATGACATTTGTCGGAAACACCGTGACAAAACGTGATAGACCGTGATAAACCGTGATCTGTTCAGGATTGACCGCTCATCTTCTAAGGGTAGCTGCCACTTCTCGTTTGTGCTCACAGCGTTTTACGGTAAAATTATGGTTACCGCAAATGTTGCCAAATTTTGGCTACGGATGTCAAATAATGCCTACGGACGTCAAAAAACAAGGTTTACCGCAAATGTCAGCAAATAGACCCAACATTGGATCCACAGGGAGGGGATCAAAGTTCTTCGAATCATTTTCCCAGTGAATCGTGGCCAGCGTGTCGTGGCCAGCGTGGAACCGAGGCACAATTGGGGTGTTTTCGGTGTTCCTTACCTAAAAAGTCATACAACAGTGAAGGGATCATCTTAAACTATATTTGTCCATTCAGGCCATCTTTGAAATCCCAAAGGCAACATGGGAGATTTGACAAACGCCAAACGCCAAACCCCCCCCATTTTTGGACAAATGCATGGGGACCTCCTTCCTCTTCCCATTGGATTTAAGCCATGTCAGCTGGTCCCATCGATCACGACGTTCTCTTTCACAAAGATCACGCCATTCCTTGCGCTGTGGGTACTCCAAACGCGTGGGTTTACGCAACCAAAACTGGAGATGTATACCAACCAAACACAGGATTCGATTCCAAACTTGGATGGTTCCATACAGGAAATGGATGGAAATGGCCCAAATGTTTAGGGGATTTATCAATCTACTCTTCTACGCCTGACTGTTGTCGGCCTCTCTTGGTACGCAAAGAGGTTACCATCCCAGCAGTCGGCGGCAAATTTTCAATGTGGGTCTGGCTCAAGAATAAAGGTCCCAGTCGTCCCACAAATGGCTGGTCATGTTTAGCGTCAAACCAGCCAATTTCGAGGAATTTGAATGTCGAGCCCATCCAAACACGAATGGGTCAAGTCCTTCGGTACTCCGAAATTCAATGGCTGCAGATCCTGAAAATGACCAGTCAATTTGTGGTGTTCTTCCGTCTTCTTTTTGTGTTGGTTGAAATCGCCATTTTTTGGATCATCGCTTGAATCCCTATGTTTTGGTCGTCAGTTTTCTATCGTTTTCTGGGTGAAACCCCCAGCTGACCCCAGCTCGACTCCAAGGTGATCCAAGGTGCTCCGAGCGAAGGCCCTTCTTGCAGCGTTGGAGGAAGGCCACGAGGTCCGCATCCGTCAGATACAGCAGGACCCACTGGGCCCAGATGACGTCGTACCTGCTGAGTGGTGCTGGTGGAGGACTTCCTGTGTTAAGGATGCCGTTGGTGTTCGTGGCAGCTTGCTCATTTGGAAGCTGCTCACGATGCCGTGGAAGCCGAAAGCTGGAAACTCCTCAAAAAGCTGTGGATTTCCCTTCTACAATGATGCCCTGTCGCTAGTTTCAAATGGGGCCCATGATCTCAATTCACTACGTGTCAGGAAAACTCTTCAATTTGGCTATGTTGGTTGGTTGAAACCTTTCAACCCCGGTCTTGTAGGTTAGGAGTTAGGATTACAACAACCCCGTGTTGTTGGTTTCTCACCGCTTCTCCCCCCATGACTTTACATCCAGTCGCCAAAGCCCATGATTCGAAATTCTAAGTTCTCACCCACAAGTGTGTTTCTCAAACTTGGAACCTTATTGCATCTCACTGTTGGCTCCAAATCCCAAAAGATCTCTGCTTCGTCACCCACAAAAAGTTCGAAAAAAAATCACCATCATCTGTTGAAAACCCAACATCTCGGAACATCATCAACAATGGAGGAAATAACAGGAAATAACAACCTTAACAACCATGAAAGCCTTACAAAAACCTCATCACTGTCCAGGGCCGACCTGCCAAGCTCCGGCTCAAAGTTCTCCAGCGAACTGGCGATAAAGCGATCTCCGCGGAGACCCACCTGCTAGGATCCCTTGGGGATAACCAGGGAGCGTAAGGAAATCACAGGGGTTAAGTTGAGGAATAACCAGGGGGGGATTAATGTGGTTTAATCCCAAAAAAATGGGGGGTTTAATGATTTAATGTGGTTTAATCACTAATCCCCCCAAAAATATGTTGTAAGCCAGATTGGGGGGGGTTGAGCAAGAAATTAATGAGGCTTCAAGCAAAGAAACTGTCAAAAAGAGCGGGAGGGTTGGTACATGTTGCTACTACAAATTGCTATACAACATCTGTGGATCCCAAGGTCTTGAATTCTGACCGATTTTGCTTTCGAGGACCGAAACAGCAGCTCGGGCACCTTTTATGATCACCCGCAAAGTGGGGGTAGTACTTGATGATAAGTCAAATATAATCAACTCAATTTACAAGTTTGAGTAGTTTGTAATAAACTCCAAACTGAAGTCAATGCCGCTTTTTTTGGTTCTGCTTTGGCCCCTCTCAACCAGCAGTGATTCGCTATCGCCATCATCCGCTTGCCATGACACATTTTTGCTGGACCCCCACGGATCAACTTGGAACATCATTTGGGTCAAAAGGGTCAAACCCCAAGACTTTTTTTTCAACTACTCTCTGGTAAACTAACATAGCTATGGAAAATCACCATTTTCAATGGGAAAATCCACTATAAATCACCATTTTCAATAGCTATGTTAGTTTACCAGAGGGTACACACTGGTTTTCACGGTGACATAGCTGGCTGTTCCTGGCTGCTCCTTGTGATTTATCAACCCATGGAACAGTGCCTGATTTTTGGCTTCCTCCAACAGACGAGCGTTAGGTTCAACCAGGTCCACCACGTCGAACCTCAGCGACGTAGCTGATGGTCATTGGAGATGAAAAGACTACAAACACCATGTCTGGCAGGTTCCACTAAGTGTTTACTTGCAAGTTGTTATGATGTTTGGGATTGGAAAAGGAACAAAAAACCGTGTGGCTTTGTGCAAACATAGGGTCCAAAACACAATGGGTCATCGTCAGTTTCCCTATTTAGATTGGCATGAAACGGAGTTAAATCACACATTTCTGGGTAAAACCATTGTTGTTCATAGGTTCAATATACCGTTATGTCCCCATCATATGAATCCGCTTTCTGTCTGGATTCGAACTCTTGACGTTTGTTGGTTATATCTCCGTTTCTTGGTTGTATCCCCCACATCATTAATGGCTATCACTAGTATCATTGGCCAATTCACAAGAGGTAAATTCCTCATTTCCGGGTGAACTAGATATATGGTGGTGCTGCCTCGATATATCCCATCACATGCGTAAAATATTCCCATGATATCCCCATAATGGTCCATTAGTAATCCAGCAGAAGGGTATGGGACATGGGAATATCATGGGAAAGTTTATTTTTTAAAAAAAAAAAAACTGGGTACAGCACCGATCCAGCAGAAGGCCCTTGGACACCTGGGGCGCACAGTTGAGAATGGGGGGCAACAAAAAACTATCAAGCTCATGGGATATAATTGGAAAATCATTTGGAATATATAATCATACAATACATATATATATATAGAGAGAGAGAGAGAGTAGTTTATCTGGGTAAATTATAGTAATCCCATCCCCCTAATATGTTCCAAACCTCCATCGCATGGTTCCAAATCTGTGGAAATCCCATGGAAATGACACGCCACAAGCTGGTTTACCCTCTGGTAAACTAACATAACTATGGAAAATCACCATTTTTAATGGGAAAATCCACTATTTCAATGGCCATTTTCAATAGCTATGTTTGACATAACCAGAGGGTAATTTCATCCATCAAACTGTAGAGGTATATCCAGCAACCCTCGATAGCCGACTGTTACCAGTTTAGCTGACTCACTTTGTATCTCTGAAAAGATTAAGCTGGTAGAATTCCCAGGTATCCCGTATCCCCCGATGGTAGGGGTCACTGGATCACTGGATCACTATCCCAAATTGATCTTATTTCAGTTGAATCAATCCCTTCACCCGTTCATATGAAACACCAAAACCAGAAACCATGGTGGATTTTCCGGGGATCTCCCCTATTTCCGAAATGCTATTTCCCATGAAAAGAGTGCCACTTAAATTGGCAGTCAATCCACCCATCTTCATCATTTACTGGCCATTTTTTTCCTCCGTCCCCCATTTTTTGTATCTTTGACAGACCGACCCACCCTGTGCTTCCCGGCCCTGCCGATGCCCGCGCCGCAGTCCAGAACGGTGCCCCGGTCGGGCGGATGCGGGCTGCGGAACAGGAGGTCCAGAAACCGCCTTGGGTCAGCCAAGCTTCCGTTGAGTGAAGCCGCCAAGAAGACCTTGGGATAATGGTTCTGCAACAATCGGGGGTGTACCCCCAAAAAAATAGCAAGTTTGTTGACGGAACATGATTTAAATAAATTTCACAAATCATCATTTTTCGAAAATTTTCGGGGTACCCCATCAGACAAAAGCCAACTTGCCCTCCCACCTGGATTCGCGCAAGTCAGGTTCGCTGGTCTCGGGAAAGCCACCCAGCACACCATCCACGGTGGCGGCCTGGGAAGCGACGGCTGGATGGCTTTCTTATAACGACATGTAGGACAAAGGATCCATGAAATGGTTGATCATTTTGGACAATAAATCATTAGGGTCTGGTTGGTGGTTGAGCCACCCCTCTGAACTAATATGGCAGTCAGTTGCGATGATGACATTCCCAATATATGGAAAAATAAAAAATGTTCCGAACCACCAATTGGGAAATCATTCGGGTATATATGATTTATATGATCATTTGGGATAATTTGGCTCAAGAAATCCTTGGGTTCTCTAGCCGGCTCCAAGTTTGGATGTCTTTGGCAAAAGATGACCAGGAACCCAAAAGTTTAGTTTTGGAGCCACAATTCGCATTTGGTGAATTGTCCAAAATATAAATAGCTGGTATCCCAAAATCCTAGATGATGAATATGTATATAATATACGTGTATGTATTTATATGTATGTATGTATGAATTACAATTTCACTCACCTGAAATCAAGCTGAAAAAATGGACAGATCCCCCATGGACTTTGGCCCTGCCAGGGGCACCTGTGAGCTCCAGTACTCTCCTGCCTTCTTGTACCAACCTTGGACCATGGGGAACTGGGTCAGCTCGCCCATTGGACTCCCCTTCTATTCGAAAATAGCTCAGATTTCATGTTCATCCCAAAAGATATATGGTATAGGTGATCTTTTCCCCATATCACTCCAAGCCCGAAAATGTTGGAAGTTCGTAGAACGACCCAGAAAACTTGATGAAAACGGAAGTAGCCTTCCACTCATGAAACATTTGCCGACGGCACCTCATAGCCGAGCGCATGCCGTCTTCAAAGGGAGCTGCCATGAATATCCAGAAGTTGAAGGAATCCAGGAAGATTAAGCCACAAAATCACATAAATGAAAATTTGGTTGTGGCCTATCCAAAATTGGCGCCTATGGACCAGAAACGGTTCGTCATTTGTGCCAAAGCATCCATTTTGGGGTCATGGTTCTTTGAGCAGTGGCCATATAGACAACACCAACTGGAGATAGAACTAACAAACATCAGAATCACCTAATCAAGGTTTGACCGCTTGGTGTCTGTTTGACATAGCCAAGTCTGGAACGACAACAAGTGGACGTAGTACACCCTCTGACCAGCACTGGCAAGTAGTAGATTTCCTGGATTAGAAATGCGAACGTAAACTTTGAGAACCCAACTTGTTCAACATCCTAAACCGTTCTAAAACCCCATTCACTCGCATCAAAAACCGCATGTAAAAACCCGTTAAAATCCCAGTCACGTCCCGTTAAAACCCATCGAATTTTCAGGATGCTGGGTCCAACGACCCGCTCGCTTCTGGTCGTCACTCCACCTGGGCAGAGGCGCAGCAAATTTCTGGATACATCCCGTCGCGTAATCACTATACATGTGTAGATTTACGTACATATTTATTTTGGTTGGTGGTTTGAACCCCTCTGAAAAATATGAAAGTCAGTTGGGATGATTCTTCCCAATATATGGAAAAAGTCAAAATGTTCCAAGCCACCAACCAGTCATATTTGTACGCGTGTTCAGACGTGTTTGCTTGAACCACAATATACATGTGTAATACATGTGTCGCATTCTACCGAGTGCAGTTAAACATGATGAAACATGTCGACATGCTGGTTCTGCATCTACATGTCACATTGGGTCTGGGTCAGTTTTGGATCCCAAAATTGGATGGCCAAAAATAGGGAGACTCAGTAGGAATGACCAGCCAATTTCCAGTTCTTGCAGTGCCACATGGATGCCATTCATCCATCTCTACCCATGGCATCTTTCCACCAATTTTGATGATTGGTTGGTGCATAAATATAGGTCAAAATGATCCAACATGAGTTTTTTTGGCTCACAAAATCCAGAGTTCAACCATGGGAGTTTGATGTATCCCAGCATGTGGAGACAAAGCCATTTCATCAAGGTCCAGTCAAATTGGAAAGAACTTGAAAGATAGCCCTATCCCTAGGACATTCACAGGACCTGACCTATCCTTGAGACCCCAAAATCCGTGGTACCCATTGTTACCCTAGTTTTCACTATCCAAACCTTAACTGACTTCAAGATCTTCAGATTATATAGTGGATTATTGATTTTGAATCATTGCCATTAACCACTATTGATCACTACCCAATAATTGTCAATAGTTAATACACCCTTGCAAAATAACATGTTACCTAAAATGCCAAAAAAAAAACTTAACATGGCACCTGCGGAGCAGTGTTTTATCTTAACATGGAAGAAAATGTCCACCCCATGGGGTCCTTTTTTTTCTATGTTAAGATTTAAGGTTCACATGTTGGGAAAGTCAACTGAATTGCCCCAAAATGACAAAATTCATGTACGATCTGCAGGCCGATTTTTTTTCTTTCTAATATTTCTAATCCACGGGTACCTCTGTGCTGTTCACAGGGCTCAAAGTTCACGGGATTACCAGGGGACCCTTTTTTGTCCATGTTATTTTGCCAGGGAGTAACTACTACTATTATTGGTTAATAACTACTATTGATCACTATTGATCACTATTAATAACAATACCCTCTGGTAAACTAACGTAACTATGGAAAATCACCATTTTTAATGGGTAAATCCACTATAAATGACCATTTTCAATAGCTATGTTTGACATAACCAGAGGGAATTGTCATTGATTTTGCCAAGAACTTGATCCCACTGGCGTCTCCAGCAGCTCGAGGTGACTCTCGTACTTTTCACCTGCGGAATCGCTTCCTGGATATGCCTCAGCTTCGATGTGGCGGTGTAGCAGTATATCCATGGACATTCCCATTAAGGATCGTAAAAAAAGGTGGTAAATACCGATACCTGTGGATGTCCTATAATTTATGTACACATATGATTGTATATTGTATATGTTTGTATAATTTTGTATATACATATATCCATCCATGTATATATATATATATATCATGTATATATCTATATATATATACACATTGTACATTTCTCTATTCATTTGTATGTATCAACCTAGTCAGTCAGTCGGTCGGTCGCCTTCACCGGCTCCATAGACTTGAAGCTCCTGGAAAAGGCATGCGGTACAGTATCTGTCATTAAATGGGGGATGAAGAATAGCTAATATTATCAGACTATTGAGTATAGATCCTATAGTTCGATGAGTTATGATTTGGTATTGTTACTACATGTTACTACTTGACATTATCGCTATAATTTGGGGAGTTGCCACCCAAGTTCTTTCCATTTTGAAAAAGGAAACTTGATTTCATCAGAGAAGAGCTATGTCATTGGTATGGTTGACAGGTGAAACAACAGGGAAAAGTCGGTGGTTGGTGCGAGTCAATCCGCACAGTCCAGACAACTAAGAAATCTGGACCAACCAAAAGAGGAAGCAGGAGGAGTGGTTCCACTAAATTTTCGGACACACATCGCAACTGAAAATTATGAGTATGAATCGTAGCGTTTCCCGAATCTTTCAAACAAGCACTGCAGTCTGATGGATAGTCATCCCATGGCCATCCTGAGCCACTCGGGTGTATTCTGGGTGAAAATCAGTCGGATAGTCGGATAATAAAAATCAGGAAAATGGATCGCTCCTAAACTGAAAATCACCGATTTTTTAAGGCGGATTTGGCTCGAACTTGAACATCCGCACCCGCCTGGCACCGTAACCCAGAGTTCCGGCACCTGGCCCAGCCCCAGGTTGAAAGTCACAGGGATGATGCTTGGCTGCTCCGGATGTCAGGAAAGTTTTGGCCACACAACATGAACGCGACCATCAAACCATGACCATCCATGACCATCCATGGCCCTAAACTCATCTCACTCTACCTCCAAGCTGCCGCATATGAGCCACTCAAACCACCGGTTTTACCATGCGCAGCATGGCTTCGAAGAACAACAGTGGCGACCGGTGGCGGGGTTCGAAAAACTTAGGGGGTTGCCGTTGGGATTCCATTCTTCCACTTAATGGACACCATTGGTGATTTTCTGATGGCAATGTATGTTCAAACGAATATGTTGTTTCAAACCTTCCAATGCTGCGCTACACCTGCGAAGCTTATTTTAAGAGTGTGCCACCTACCGAATGGGAACATGTTCTCCATGAACCATGGGATTTAGGATGCCTACAAATGGCTGCTGCTAAACTGCTGGAAACTTGCTGCGGCATCGACACGACCAAAAACCACTTCGGTAAAGATCAAGGAGTGGAAAGGCAGCAAACTCAGCTCTGTGGAAATCAAACACGACCAAGCCCCCTTTATCTATGTCTTTCCCATTAAACCCTCTTGTTTACAAGGGAGTATGCAGCTTGCCATGTTTGATGACACTGGACGGGAGCTTCCCCTGGGCATCTTTTTCGACGCCAACTTGGCAAAGGCTACCACGGTCACTTGCGTCTCCAACTGGAAAAAAGTTGACCGCACACCTGGCCAAACTCCCCGGTGCGTGGTGAACGTCAACATTGCATCAGCACCATTCCCAAACATATTTTATATATATAACTACACATGATCAAATACATGTATAGTTTTAGACTTATATAGCTGTCTAAACATTTGTACTCTCCTCCATCCAAAATGGAGACTTTGACCCCAGCCAACCACCTTGCATTTGCCGCCCGTGGCCGTCTTCATGGCGCATTTTTTGCCTCAAAAACCCAATCGGCTCCAAACGGCTAGGAGAAAGATCTATCATGTTTGTCAAGTAATATATACATTATATATATATACATCTTCAAATCTGTGGTTCCAAACCCTCAAGGCTCCCCAACAAGCTGCTTCATGCCCACATCCATCCGCCTCATACCTCTGCACCGAAGAAAACGACGTTTTTTGGTCCAGATTGGGAGACGGTTTTGCATGACAAGGTGTTATTACTAGAACCACCCCCGTGTGTCAAAAAAAAAACTGGCCCCCTGATTTTTTTGGCAATATTGTTAAATGGTAAGGGGATGCGGTTGCCAAAAGAATTGGATGAAGTAATGCTACGCTGTGGAAACACTTGTGAGGGCAGAAACCTGCTTAGTGGTTTCAGACCATTCCAAAAGCAAAATCAGTCAACTTGCATCATCTCTTATTTTTTTCAAGGTATTGCATGAGAAGTTAATAGTTCAATAATTGAAATCACTAATCTTAAATGGTTTGTATGTATATATATATATACATACATATACCCACCAATTTTCCCACTTCTTATTGTTCTTCTCGTCTCCACGGTCGGTCAATATGCCCATGATCTGGAACACGGTTGATGATACTCCCCAGTCGGCGAACCGGGGCCCTGACTGTCTCGTCTCTTTCTTGCAGTAGAGGCAGGCATTCTGCGGGGCCGCCACACAAATCGCCCAAGAAAGAAGGTGGAGAAGTAAAACACCTGAAAATTACTGGCAAATAACCTTTAAAATATCATGTTATATCCGTTTTTGATGGTTACTATATAGAAACACTACGTGGCAAAAAAATGTCCTAGGAGACAGTATGGTTCAGGGAACATTGCAAGAAATTGCTCCCAAATCTCCAATTTCCACTGGTTGGATCCTGTTTTTGTTGGTTAAACCCACATGTTAAGTTGGCTAAATCCCCATACAGTCATACCTTAATCTGCCTACAATCCCTCAGGCGCTCTTAGCTTAGCATTCCAAACAAATCGGTCATATCTTGAACAAATCATTGCCTGTGACGACAAAGCCAGATTGGGACATGGGTCATGATCCCCACCAAATGGATGTAGCAAAAGGTCCTAGAAATGACTAGTAGACCCTACTTCTTAAGTTCATTGAAGGTTTATCCCCCCAAAAAGGTGATACTACTGGATATATCCCAACTTATAGTGCTTATTTTCCTGGTTGCTCTACTGTGGCAATGAAATGTGGCGGGCAATCCCGAAACCCCACCCACCTCCGCTGGTGCGGGAGAACCACCATAGCCAGTGCTACCTGAAGTTCCCGCTGATCCATCCTTGGTACCAGCTGTTTTTTTGGGGGTTTAGATGAGGATTATATAGGCGTAATAATGGGGATGTTGATCATTTTAGATGGGAAATGGGCATTAAATGGAATTAAACCAATGAAAATGGGGATCTACATGTTTGGGCCGAAAAACCATTTCGAGTACCTGAATCTAGCCAGTTTGAAGCATTGACCCCAGGCCCAGTATCATCGGTGATGTTAAGTATGCCACCATACAATTTTTTAATTACCTCCCTAGACTCTTTTAGCTCTTTAAGCTGGTTGACGGTTTCAAGCTGTTACACAAATATGACCTTTTTTCGGAAGCCAATTGGTTTGCCCTTCATGAAAACTGAGAAGTGTATAACTTGGATGATAACTTGGAGTTTTCCATGACTTCAGAACCATATCATGATACCCATAGGTTTTCAATTGTATCACTTTGTCAGTTTGATCCCGTGGTGTTTCTACCCATGAGTATACCATAGCTGGAAGATCCACCAGGATTTCCCAACGGAACGCGCCACATTTGATGACACTGGAGGATCTATCAATCTTTATCAATCTATATATATATAATATATAATATAATATAATATAATATAATATAATATAATATAATATAATATAATATAATATATATATAATAAAATATAATATAATATAATATAATTTAATTTAATTTAATATAATACAATATAATATAATATAAATATAAATATAAATATAAAATAATATAATATAATATAATATAATATAATACAATATAATATAATACAATATAATATAATATAATATAATATAAATATAAATATAAATATAAATATAAAATAATATAAATAATATAATATAATATAATATATATATATAATATATATATAATATAATATATATATAATATATATAATATATATAATATATATAATATATATAATATATATATAATATAATATATATATAATATAATATATATAATATATATATATTATATATATAATATAATATATATATATCAATCTATTGCTGGATTTCCACTATGTTAAATTCCCACTATTGCCATCTATTCCCACAGTTGGTGGTTAAATCAGCATGACGCTTTGAAAAAATTGGAGCCTTAAGTCATGGATGGTCATGTTTCAACAACCATGGCTTTTTTTTGGCATCCCTCATGACTTAAGACACCCACATATTGGGGATGGGTCAGAATCTGGGTACCCCTCATATTGATTAAAATTGCATATAGTTGATACAGGAAGGTGCCCCCCAGTTATAAGTTGGTTTGTAAGCCCCATTAACTGTAGTTATATCTACCATAAACCATAGAATTCAGCCACTTATGAGGCAACTGAACGCTATCGACTGGGGGCCCCATCCTGCACCAAACATAGACCAAAAATGACCAAAATCTCTGGATTTTGGTCAAAGGCATCCACCACAAATCCCGTGACGCGCGTCCCAGTGACGTGTTCCTTGGTTCCCTCGGCAAAGGTGGTCGCCGAGGCCATGGGCTTTTCCGGCGGTGCGATAGGTCTGCGAAAACGATTGGATGAGATTAGGGTTAGATTTCGGTGAGAAATTAGGTTAGGTTAGGGTTAGATTAGCTTGGATTAGATTGGATTTAGGTCTTTAGGTTAGATTAGTTTAGATCGTGTATAACCAGCAATCATGATGATTTGAATCCGAAGTTTACACAGTGAATATGCCAATGAAATCCCATCCCATGGCTTTTGATCCATCCGCTACCCAGGGATTTTTTGTTGTGGTGGAATTCATGGGAAAATCATCGATTTTAACGGGGGATACCCCCAGAAGCTGGCTACTCAAAAATATCCGTGTGGAAAAATGGTGAAACTCGGTTAGTTGGTGAAACCAATATTCGCTACTTAAAATTGTGGAAATTTCAGGCATTTAAAATCCGCAACTTCGGTTTCAGTGGAGGGCGAAATGCTGTTGTTGCACAGTTGCACCACAGTCTTTGTTGGTGAAAATCTCTCTGATCTCACAGGATACACTTGTGAAACTTGACTCAGCTTGATTCAGCTTGATTCAGCTTGATTCACCAGCAGCAGATTGGCATGTTGAAGCAGTCACCACCATGCGGTCAATGTCTACACCGATGGTGAATCCATCCATCATCTCCATTGCAGATCGCCCACCGTCTTTTTCTCGCTCTGCACCCGCGACGCCAAGTTGATCAAACCGATCTCAGGATGCGGTGCCGGTCTCAGGTGGTCGGTCAGCAGATCTCCGCGATCGCTGCGCCATCGTCTTCAGCCATCGTCTGGTGGGGCTCCTAGCTGGGGAATGCTGGGATCGCACCAATAATCATTTCAAATCTCCATCTTAGGAGTTTGAAAGCCTATTCAACTTCTCAAAAAAACCTTTGGTTTGATCTTATTTGATGAACTCTTGCCCCTGCGGCTTAGAAGGGGCAAACTTAGAAGTTGTTAGGTGTTCGTCTTCAATTCGTGTTTCTCATGTTTGGGTAATCCTTACCTTGCTTGAGCTCTGTTCCGTTTCTGTAGTCTTACAGTAGCCCCTTATAACATTGTTTTCCTTTAAATCCTCATTGTTGATTGGTTCTTGCAAAGCATGCCAGTATGGCTTGGACTTACAGCATATCAATTGAAGAGGTATACAAAGGCATTCTTAGGACTTTTCCGAAATACAAAAACGCTGAAAACAACAGCATCAACACAAACTGCTTCTGAAAAAAATTGAATAACTTTGCCACACAATCCGCTATGTTTTGCCGATGCATCTTCTTCTAGTACTTTAGCAATATACTACTTATATATAGAGATATACATACATTTCTATGCAAATGAAATACTTTACTTACGTACATATATATATATAATTGCCATCTCCCACATCTCTCCTTCTATTTGCTACATGTTGGTACCCAAAAAAATTCTCCCAGCTCCTCTTCACCGCAGCGCCCGGAACAGCTCGTCCGTCGCCAGCGCGCCGCCCGCGTCGCCGTCGGTGCCGACGCGTTCGGGCGACGAGGAGGCGGCGTGGCGCGCGCGTTCGGAGGCTTCCAGGGCCATCTTGGCGGCGATCCTGTGGTGATGACTCAGGAACAACTGGGGATCCCCAAGTCACCATGGTTGCCTTGATTCATATATATATATATGTGTATATATATATAATTATATAATTATATTATTATATTATTATATTATTATATTATTATATTATTATATTATTATATTATATATATAATACTAAGTCATGGTCATCCATGACTAGGATTTGGGGTACCCATGGATCGGAAAACCTCCGTATGGATTTTCCCAACTTTTTCTTGCTTGATATATGTTACAGTTTAGTGGAGTCATGATGTTCCAAACTGTTGTTGGTGAAGAACTTCATAATTCAACAAGAAAGACTTCGTAAAATAATGATGCCATTATACCAAGAAAAGGTTGGCAAACATGACATTCTGATTCAAGAATATTCATACACGGGTTGCTTAAAACCTCAGCCCGGCCTCAGGTAGCGTTTTCCATCCAAATGTCCCACCATCCGTGCGGGCGCTGGGGCTCCGTCGTCCAACAGAAACCTGGGAACTGATCAACCAAAATGATGGGTTGAACGGTTGAACCCAAAAAAAACATCAAAAAAACATGGTTGAGCCACCAAGTTGGGGTTGTAACTATCGCTACTTGGGTCAACTATGGTCAACTTGTCAATTTGGAGTTGATTCTTGCTAGAAGCCCATGTTTATGAGTGGCTGCTGAGCCCAGCAATCTCTTTCAGCTAAGCACGGATTTTGTCGCAGATCTGGGGGGGGGTTCCGTCCAGCAACGTGCCGTAGTTCGCATGACTGCGCCAGCCAATGTTCCGCAGGTCCATTCCTTGCTCCTGGCAGGAAGCAGAGATGGAAAAGCTTGGTTTGGTGGTCAAAGTTCAATAAGATCAACCGAATCTTTGATGGCAGTTGAAACAAACCTGTAATATTGTTTCTTACCATTCAGGTGATATGCAACTTGATGACTGAAGCCATCTTTTCGGGCTCTGGTTGTTCAATCTCAACCCCCCAAAGTGGCAAAAATGATATCGGGGCGACATATTGGCTTCACCTGTTTTTTTTTTGCACTCCCAGACAAAAAAAATGAATGTGTTTCCAGGATGGCATAGATGATGTTTCCACATAATTTCCAGGTTTCCAGCTTTTCTATCCTTTTTTCGGGTTGCTGTATTAAATATATGGAGGTTTCCAATCCATGAAGGTACCCCCAGTTATCATAACCCTTTATTCATAGGAGTTTTTTTAATGAAATAGACCATCCAGCTATTGGGCTTGCTACCCTCTGGTAATTTAACATAGCTCTTGACAATGGCCCATAGAAATAGCTGATGTACCGAACTTAAAGAAGTGGTGATTCTCCGGTTCGCAAACGGTAAACGTTTACCAGAGGGTAAATCCCAGTATAACCATCATTAACCATCATTATATAACCATCATTATATAACCATTATTAACCATTCATCATCATCATCATCATCATCATCATCATCATCATCATCATCAACCATTATTAAAGATGGTTCTTCACCCACATACCCATTTTTGGCCTCCCATGGTCCTGGCCGAGTTTATCTTCGATGAATCCGCCCTTGGTGACCAGGCGCCGCCTGCGACCGAAGACGAAGCTGCGATAGTACTCCTCAGCCACGATGTGCTCCACGTGCTACCCCTGGAAAATCTGTGGAAAGTCTACGGACATCAGATGAGTCAATGGAAAAAACCATGGAAACACACAAAATTGTTTCAAATCTTCCCAAACTTGTTTGTCAGCAGTACCTCTGCTTCAGCCTTCCGCCAGAACAAAAATAGCTGTGTAAATAGCTGAATGAAAACATGAAAACAGTGTGAAAATCCATAAGATGTGACCCCGCATCTGACCCCTTTCTGTCCCATGTCATGCAGAGAGTCAGTAGAAGCGAAATGTGTGGAGTCGTGCCACATGATCATCGGGATGAAGCGCAGCTGTGGACACACCTGGGAAGATCCCCATGCTGGCCATGCTGGCCATGCCTCCCACCTGTTCCCGCCTTCTACCATACCAATCCCCTCGATCTTCAAGGCACAGGGGAGGTGACCACCAGACTTTCGAAAGGTGGATGATGGACTTTCATCTCCCCAAGCTTGGTGATGGCCTCTCAATTGAAAAAACAGCTGCTACGGAGTTGAAGCTCAGTCCAGCCCTTTCCCCACGTTCCCCACGCCTGGGTGATGTACTTGCTGGGATCGTTGGTGGTGGTTGGCAAACCCACCTGAGAGGACATGAAAACAAGAACCTCTGGGAACCCACCCTCGGAACAACTGGACGGCCGGGATCATCCAAGCGAAAATCCTCCTGTTTCGTTGAATCAAATACCACCTCGGCTGCTTGTTTCAACTCACCTTGGGCCTTGGGTATATAACCACGTGGTAATGGAGAATGTCACTATCACTATCGTTCGCCGAAAAAAACGCTGATCAATGAGGTATGTTCCAGCCAGACAAGTGTAGATGTTATTTTGTTGGTAAAACTCTATCTATATATATATATATATATATAGGTAAAACTCTATATATATATATATAGGTAAAACTCTATATATATATACATAATGGATAATGTCACCCCGGAATCACAACATTATGGTTAATGATTGGGTTGACCACCAAAGATTTCCCTCCCAGCCATTCCAAACCATTCCAAGCCACCATTTTCAACTGCTCATCCGCCATCATCGCCTTCAACAAGGGCAGGACGTCGTGGAAAGGCCGCATGAAGGTGCGGTCGTGCTGCATCACGCACACGAAGCGCGTCTGAACCAACTCCAAAGCTGCCTATGCCAGGAATGGGGGGACTCCAAAGGTTGTGATACCCTTTGGTAAAATCCATCAGCATTTGGTTTGATGATTTTCCCAGCGAGCTAAACCTCCATGTGGGATGTCCCAGCTAGCCACCTTTGATTACCAAATTGTATTGACCAATAGTCCGTTTGAATATTCCATGAATACTTATTAACATCCCATTTATAAAAGGCATCAGGAAATTTCATCAAGATCCCATTAATATCTCATTAATCAGGATATTGCAGGATATTCCATTAATCTTTCATAAATGAGTATTCCATCAATGCCTGCTCTATGTCTATATATCACTTTGGCCCGCACAGCGCCTTCACCGCAAAGCCGAAGCCCTGTCGCTCCGCCAGCCGCACCACCCAGACCTTTCGCCACAGTCGGTCTTCCAGGGAGCCGTCCGAGGGATCCTGGGGCGCTTGGAAGATCAGCCCACTTTCTAACTGGACAAGTAGGGTTATACAACCAGTGCGAACATGTTAAGCAAGTAGGGTTGTAACATGTGACCAATGATAAGTGGGCTGACCTTGGCCTTTGTTGATTGTTAGGGCCATAAGCAGGAAAACAGTGGGATATCTTGCTGCTGGGGATTTACGAACCGGGTCCACTAGCCAGTTACGATTCCCGGGATGATCCTCAAAGTGGGGGATGCCTAGGAATCTTTGCCCATGGCCCAAGCTCCAACCAAGGCTCGACTTCGGAGGCTTTTTGCGCTTGGAGCTCCAGGATATCCATGTATTGTTCCTGGGATGGCTATATGTTTTTTTCTGAAAATGGCGAGTATATTTGTCTCAAATATACACATGGCATCGACATGCTATTCAAATATTGATGGGGAAAATGATAAAACGTTGTTGATTTTGGAGGTCCCTATTTCCAGGCAGACCTGTACAGGTCAGTGCCACCTTTCAAAAGCTGAACCTATTCAGGGATTAATGTTTGTTGATGAGAAACAAGGTGGGTTTGACTAAGGGAGCATTCTCAGATTGGAAATTTTGGAGCACAACTTATCCTGAAAATATGGAAAGTCCATTGGGATCATCGTGTCAAATCGGATTCGAAACAGAAATGTTAAGAATGAGTAGTTCAAACCGCTAACCAGGTCCCTTTTTTTGTTCAAACCACCCAGTTTCGATGACCTCTTTTTTTTGGTGAATTCCTTCCGGCACCCTGACAGACCGTTGGAAGAAGTTGGAACCGTGGTGGCATCGGGCACAAGAAGGGTCCCCCAGTGATGTTGGTATATAATTCCATCTAGCTACTTCGATATATCCACTAAAAAAACAATTACCCTAGTTGACCTATAGCTACAAACCCAACTTACCCCCATTTGGAGGATCCACAAAGAGTGACTAGTGGCTGGGATTACAAGCCAACTACCAATGGGATCATGTCAGTTTGCAACGCGCGGCTAGTCATGACCCACTTCACTCGGCATCATCCGACCACCATCGAGCTACGTAGGCATGGGCTCGCTCCGCCGTGACCACCCCACTGCGAAACTTGCTGTCGCTGGCGCATTTATAGCCATCGCAGACGATGATGTGGCGACACTCGAGCCTGAAGTGGATCTCTAATCCTATGTTCCTAAGATTCAACAGCCCACATGAAGGGACCAGAAAATGCATGAAAATGATTCAATACTAAACCAGGGTTTAGATGTGCTTCGATATTATAGAAGGTATTGCCAGTAATACCGCACAAGGCGGTGGTGGAAGTTTCAAAAATAGGAAACCTATAGGAGAGGTTGGTTGTTGTGAATCACGGATGGCAGAGCGAAGCCACTGATGGACCGAAAAGTGGTTGAGGTCTCCTCTCTTTCTCTCTCTTTCTCTCTCTTTCTCTCTCTTTCTCTCTCTTTCTCTCTCTTTCTCTCTTTTTCTCTCTCTTTCTCTCTCTTTCTCTCTCTTTCTCTCTCTTTCTCTCTCTTTCTCTGATTATCTACCTACCTACCTACCTATCTTTCTATCTATCTATCCATCCATCCATCCATCTATCTCTCTATCTATGTCTCTTGTACTGCGCCGGCCACGGAAAATGCATCTTTGCAGATCCTCTTCAAATGTCCCACGCCCGCCATCGTTTTTGGAAATGCTACAAAACCCTCACGTTTTGCTCACTTTTGACAAGGTGCATAATCCCTTGCGCTTGCCACGCGAAACGACATCTCAACGTCCAAAAATGGCGCGGACATGTTGTATTTTTCACATTTTGACTTCGAAATGTGCTTTGCGCCACAACGGCGTGCACTTTTTCGACATCTCAACTTCCAAAAGTGGACCGAAGCTGGTGTGTTTTGTACATTTTGACTTCGAAATGTGCTTCGCACCACAACGGCGTGCACTTTTTCGTTATCTCAACTTCCAAAAATGGTCCGAAGGTAAGGTGCTTTTAGCTTTTTCACTTGCAAATGTATTTCGCGCCACAACGGCGCGCACTTTTTCGACATCTCAACTTCCAAAAGTGCTCCGAACTTGAGGTGTTTTTAGCTTTTTCACTTGCAAATGTGCTTCGCGCCACAGCGGCGTGCACTCGTTCGACATCTCAACTTCCAAAAGTGGTCCGAACGTGATGCTTTTAGCTTTTTCACTTGCAAATGTGCTTCTCGCTACAACGGCGTGCACTTTTTCGACATCTCAACTTCCAAAAGTGGTCCGGAGCTGGTGTGCTTTGTACATTTTGACTTCGAAATGTGCTTCTCGCCACAACGGCGTGCAATTTTTCATCTCTCATCTGGCCAGATGCCTCCGCACCCGCCGCTTTAGCGAGCCTACTTTTCGACCCTCCGGAGCCACAAATCATTAGAAAAACACAGTGTTTCGCGACTTTCCTACCTTTTCTATCACCTGCATCTTCTTTCTTCTGACTCTTTCTCTTCTCTGATCTTCTCTCTTCTACTCTTCTCTTCTCTCTGACTCTTTCCATCTCTGCTTTTCATCTGTCCATATTGTCGGAAGTTTGACTTCTAAACTTCCTTCGATCATAGGGGATTGATCGGACTGACCAGCATCTCCATGAGTTTCTGAGCACCCATACCCATCTAGTCGCAACCATGATGACCCCATGGCCGCCTGTTGGGCCTGTAGACAAGGCTGTAAGTTGCTGGTGATGTGGGTTTCTGCCATCATGGCAGTACAATACCGTGATCAAAGTTTGAGATCTTTTTTCTTCCAAAATTTGAGAAGTGCTGGTTTCTCAATGATAAAAGGTCAAGATTGATATCTGAATCATCCATTACACTCGCCACACCATCATGAGACCCAAGCAAACCATGTCTACGGGGCCCGCGGTACTTTGTCAAACAATCAAAGACCATTTGGTTTAAGGCAAACTTCATAGGAAGCCCTGAAACCCATGAAGAGCGATCATGTTGGCATATCCAGCATTCCGTAGCTCCTTGGCTCCCCATTTGATAATACATGGATACAAATTGCTACGAAGCGTCACCACTGGCTAGCCAAGATCTTCCAAGAAACAACTCAGGCGCATACTCAGCCAGACTCTCCAAGGTCGAGAAGATCAGCTCAGTCGATGGATTCGATGGCGTCGGGGAGGTGGTGGTGATGATGGTACACAGCGCTGCCAGCGTCTCCCCATCCGGCGCTGCCATGCCACCATGGCGCGGGGACCCGTGAACTGCGATGGTGGTAGGGGTCCGGGGTGGACAAGCTTGGCTCAGTCATTGGATTGGCTCTGCAAATTGGCATTTTCCTCTGGAATACCTTTACCTTTGCAATTCAATAAGGAAAAAAAAGTTTGATAAAAAAACCTCTACACTAAGAAATGAAGAGATGGTGCCAGATGTCCGCAGAAACCTTCAACGACATGGGAAGAAATCTAACTCTACAGCCTAACATGGCTGCATCGACGTTCCCTGAGAGTTTGTGTTTTTGCAGTGAAAATGTGCAACTTAGTGGATCACAGTCCACTAAGTTTCAGCCACGGCGTCCTACCTGAACTTCTATGCCATGAACTAAAAGTTTTGGGTGATCTTCAATGCAGCTTCAAGATATGGGATTCCAGACCTGATTTCGGGAGAGACCCTTTCTTGGTCAGGTGGAAATACCCCAAACACCCCACAGGAAAAAATATCAATGGTACTGAAGAAACATAGAAAATCAACACAAAATCACAAGATGCAACATACAACTGCTACACTCGCTCCCGCTTTATCATTTCTTGTGGGCGTGGGAACCTGGCCCTGCTCAAAACCTCTCAACATCTGCAATCTTTCGGTGTTTGCTCCAAGAGAGGCTGCTTTCCGAACTGGGTCAGCCGTATCACGAGCAACTAACTCATTTGCGCAAACCGTGGATGTCCTCTTCGAGGGTCCACAGGTATTGTCACCATCGCCCACCGGTCGGTCGGCCATGGCCACCGAAGCCGCCCTGTTGCGGACCCCCAAACAACAGCGGCAGTCAGAGGACATGGTGGGTGGGTGTCACCCATCCTGAAAAATATATAAGGCAGGTGGGTGCTTCTAGATCTTCCCAGTAACAAGGGATTAAGGTTGAAACACATCAAGCAGTCACTGACTTCACTTGAAACCATCTTCAAAGCTACTGATCTCCTAGTTTTTGTTCTATCTCACCCTTTGATCACCCTTTGGTTTACAGTGTACTACAGCCTGATCCCGGATCCCCATTTTGCTTGGGAAGCCATGCATGGAGACCCCAAAAAAAGGCCGGGGCCAGGGAGGGCCATAAGATGCTTCACTTTGCAGGGCGGCCACGAGTAGTATACACCAGCGCTGACTCGTCCAGTCTCTCCACCAGGGGAGTACAGACAGTGTCGCTGAGGCCAACGAGATCACAAAATTTGGTCCCAAAAGGTCAAACATGGTCAAAGAATCTTGGGGATATTCATGGGATGTTACTGGGTTATACACCCAATATATGTTGATGGGATGTTAATGGTAATGGGATATATGATATACGAATATAATATCTCTTGGCTATGTTTGGATAGTTTTGGGAGAAACTACCCCTTCGGACCACTGACATGGTCAAGGTCCTGAATGGTGCTTCTTGGGGGTCATGGGATGGTCATTTCTTTGGAATGACCCACATTGATCCCATACCATGACACCCATCTGAAATAATGCCACCTTTTGGGAATGATACCCCTCAAGCCAAAGGGTTTCCAAGAGGAATCTATGGTTACTGGCAGCTACTTAGATAGGCCATAGGATTTGCTAACTAGTCAGTAACTGGCTTATAAGTGGCTAATGGTTATAAGATATTATAAGTTGTAAGTCATAATTGAGTTACTAACCAGCGAACTACTCCCATGTCTCATAGCAAACTGGTTGAACCCCCTGGATGGAACCTGGACACCTTAACTTTAAGCGCGGAAGTTCAGATCATTGCGGCATGGCTCAGTAAAAATCCGCAAGCTCGGCTACCGGGCCGCCTCGGTGTCTCAAGTTGTTGGTCCGTCGGCAATGTCGTTCGGCGACGAAACATGTGATCATTTTACCCTCGATACTGTGGATACAACCTGGATCTGAACCACCAAAAAATTGGATTTTTCGAGAGAATCGCCAAAAATTAGGATCTACGCACCAAAAAAATTGGATTCAACCGCCAAAAATTTAGCTTTCACTACCCAAGATGTGATTGAAGCACCCAACAAAAATTGATGTTTGCCCTCTGGCCATCCCTGGGATTCTGCAGATTCCCCATCTTGAATAGGGCATCAGTCAACATGAGTACCCCAAAAAAATGGGTCGACTGGCACATGTTCTCTTTAACAATGGGTTGTGGTGATTGGTTTTGTTGGGAAATCTACAGGAAACCAAAGGGTTTCCCTGACTGAAATGGCCATTGATCAAACCAATCCAATCATTTCAGGAAATCGTGACCTCGACACTTTCATGGGGCTACCTCGCCCAGTTGCCAAAGAGTCCGTCCCCACAGTAGCTCGACCATTCACCAAATCGTACCCCAGATCTGGCAGCTTTTTTCAGGTCCCAACAATATTGATGGTTTAGTATGGCTTAGTCACTTGATATGAAACCATACACAACCATCTAAAACCATCCGTAAAACCACGGTTGGTCCCAACATTCAACACCCTGAGAAGGGCACGGTGAGTTCCATGCCTAGCCCCGCCTGGCATGAAGATCATAGCGATGATCATGGATGGTGAATTGGTGAATCATGACCAGGACTAGATTAAACCATGATTAAAAGATGTTAAGAGTACTTGAAAAAATATCCTTTCCAAACATTATACAGTGTGTATATATATATGTGTGTGTATGTATAAAATAGTGATGTCATCTGCTACTCTAATGCTATCCCCTAAACAACAGCCCAGGGGTGAAGGAAAATCAGTTCTTTTTCACATCGACCAACTTTTTGGATCCCTCGGAATCCTAAGAGCTGGCTTCATGCCACATGGCTAGTGGCAAATGGATGGTTTGTTCCCCAAAATGTTCCCCAAAATATGGTATATTATTATATTACTATATAATAATAGGTTTTTTTCTGCTGAGGTTGTTGCTGTGGTGCCGTCACATCAACCACCAACTGTATCTGGCAAGTCCGAGCCTATGACATATGAATTCACTTCTTGAATTTTCCGGTTGCACCTGAAGTCTCAGACAATCCAGGGCGTCCTGGTAATTGGAGCCATTCAAACCTCAGGGTGTCCAGAACAGTGAGAAATTGTTTTTCTATCTTTTCGGGGATTACTATTCTGTACCCTCCAGTAAACAGACAAAAAGGTATGGAAAGTCCACCATGAGCGGCTCGAGCATTTCCGCAATGGAAAAGCCCTGGATTTCCATCGCCATTCGGCAGCATGAACTCAGCTGCCCACCACGGCCATTGCGGTTCCTGCCAGGTAACAAAAAAAGGCCGACACCAATGGAGCACCCGGCTTTCCATGGCAAAATAGCCGGTTTGTTGTGGATGTGCGTCAGCCCTTCTCATGGACTTTAGAATATTGACTCATAGTGACTCTTGACACATCCCCAATGATTTTCTTGGGAAACTTGGTAGCTCAAGAAATGAGCGAACCTTTCGGGTGAGGCAGTTGTGGCTCTTTAGGATCCACCACCAAAGCTCGGTATGCAGTACTGATGCGACTGAAACCGCATCGGTCAATGACACCACCAAAAGTACCACAAAAGTTCTGCTGATGTATATGGCCTTTCAATACTGTAGGGAAAGTCATGATAAGACCCCCCCCCTTTCAATAGAAAAAACGGCTCTGATTTCAGAAATCGGCAACTAGCCAGGCTACCCAATTTCCATCCCATGGATCATTCTATGGCAGTGTGTCAAAACCTTGTACCCCTGGTGAACATCAAAATAGCTGGTAAATGGATGTTCATCCCACTAAAATTAATAGGTATTGATCCATAGCCCTATCCCATTGGCTATCCCATGGTTCGGTTCATCATTTTCCCTAATCAAAAAAATGGCCCCCGGCGGCGCCTCTGCCTCCGTGCCTCACGAGGCTTGCGAGGCGCATGGCGACTCGTTCCATCCAGTCCTGGAAGCAGCTTGTGGAGCAATGGTAGGGCTTAAATGATGAAGACATAGGGAATGAACAACAACTGGAAATAACTTGAATAGTTTTTTTTTATCTCGATATCAGATCTTAGATATTCTTGGATATTAGATACATTAGATATAGATAGAGATACAATTATACATATATTTTATATCTATTAGATATACATACATATTACATATAGATATTAGATATACAGCTATACAGAGAGAGCTCATCTATACGCACCGCGCCTTCCGAGGGATGGTCTTCTTCAAGAGCACCTGAATAACGCTCTGCTGGTCGCACAGCACTGCTGTAAGGATTTTTTCCAGGATGGCATATGTGACTGTCACTATCACCATGATATTCTGACATTAAATCATGAAAATTCATGACATGATTGGTGTTGTTATTCTTATCATCATTATGTTGATTGGTGCCAGTATCATTATGATTCTGATGATGATTATTATTATCGGTAGTAGTATCATTCTCCTCCTCCTCATCATCATCATCAGCAGCAGCATTGTTATTACTATGAATATTGTTGATGGGCACTACATACAACTACATGTGCACATGCATCATCTGTGTTTGTGTTTGCGTGTGTGGGGGGGGGGAGGGGGAGTGGGCCAATCACAGCCACCAACAACTGGGCGATGCTCGTCCGCACCATGACTCCCCTTTCTTGCCCATTTCTGTCATGTATTGTCTGTTCCATTCCCATGCTTTTCCGCTTCAATCATGCCTTAAATGGCTTTGCAAAAAAAAATACGGTGCCACCGTGCCGCCAAAAAAAAAAAACAAAATGGTACATCAAAATGGTACATCAAAATACATTGCCATCCAATGTTTATTATTATTGTGGCCATCAAAATGGCGACCCACATGGCACAGCAACCACCAGCTGTCCTGCCAAGGTGCCGTAGGCCGTCTGTGACATCTCGGGTGTTTTGGATTCCGCCTTGCCATGGCCATTGATACAGATCGGGAAACCCGTTTGATAGACTGTTGGTGTATAACAATATAACTAAGTTAACTGGGTGAAGCGGGGTTTATGGTGGATATATCTAGAGTTCGTTGTAAGTTATAAGTTGCAAACCAACAAACATCACTTTTGCCCATCAGGAATGAACCCAGTTAGGATTGAAAAAATCAGCACCAGTGTTGGCAATGACACAAACCCAATGTCTGACATCAGCAATTCTTTGGTTGCTCGTCGCACCCACACTGTGAAAAGGCGTTGGAATCAGATGCTGTTAGTCAAATAGTGACGGTGATACGGATTTGTTCTGGAAATTGGATGTGATGAAACCCCCAAATTGCCTTTCTTAATGAAGAAAATCAGTATCAGCCACTGGATGTTGAGCTACCTTATTCTCAGACAAGTGTGGCACTGGATCTATAACCCTCGCAAGCGGTGGCCTCCAGTGCAACACATTGGGATGGGATCAACTCACTGTGGCTCAGTGATTCACCAAGCTGCCAAAAAAAAAAGTCTAGGATCATTTACCCTCTGGTAATTTAACATAGCTATTGAAAATGACCATAGAAATAGTGGATTTTCCCATGAAAAATGGTGAATTTCCATAGTTATGTTAGTTTACCAGAGGGTATCTTCAAAAAAAAAGACACTCATTTTGAGATGAATAAACCACTCAAAAATCACTTATCCACCAACCTGAGCCCCAAAAACCATGGGGTTTCCTGAGGTGTTCTTCTTGAATCAGCACTCATTTTGGACGATTCCGGGCAAATCAGAAAAAAATTCACTCATCTGAATAGTTAGGCTATTTGGGGATGATTTCCCCTATAAAAAACCATGATTTCCAGGGCTCGGTCGTAGTGTCACCATTGAAACGCCACCAGTTCTCGTCGCCTCTTCTGGGCCACTGGGATCCAACCTCAGGGGGGACTTCCCAGCGATGAATTCTGTGTCTGGGATCCACTATCCACTTAAAGGTAGTCTATCTGAATCTATATATATAACAACTAACAACTTGGGATGAGGTCACTCAAACCTTGAAGCCTTTTGCACCGAGCAATCTTCAAGCGCCCATTCGAAACAGCCAAGCTTTCGCCTGTTTAGGCTCTACGGGGCTTGGGCACGTAAAATGCTTCTGGAACAACCATTCAGCACAACAAGTGATTAACACCCTGAAATGCTGATGGCAGAAATGAAAATGCGCCAACAAAAATTTAAATTAATGTATATATATATATGATATATATGTATGTATATATATATATGTATATATATGTACATATATATATATATATGTATGTATAGATATATATATTCATAATGGGATATCTACTCAACAACATTATGGGATATAGGTCCCACAGTGTGTGTGTGTGTCTGAAAATCGGGGATGTGTGCCCAATTATCTAATTGCTGTTTCAACGGCGAAAATGATGATGAGTGAATCACGGCGATTCTTGGGGTGCCCCATTTTCAGACCACCCATTTCGCAAGTCTACTTGTTGGAATGGAAATGGAAAACAAGCTAGTATTGAGATCATCTCACTTACTAACCACCACTTACGTTGAAAGTGATTGTGATGATGAGTAACTTCTCCTCAGAACGAAAAGACACTGTTCAAAGATGATAGCACCTAAAAGACCCAACACCTTGCCCTCAACAATCATCAAAAAGTGTCTGTGATTCCTGAGTGTTTCTCAAGATTGGGCCAAACACCCCAAAACCCATTGGCTTCCCCCAGGCTGCTCCCAAGGGCGGCTACAACGGCGGAAAATTGAGGTCGCAGCTCGTAGACTTCTTTGCAAGGCTCAAACCTCTTCACATTCACCTGGCAGCTGATTGAAATTTTTGTCTCAAACTCTAAACTTCCCCCGTTACCCTCTGGCAAACTAACATAGCTATTGAAAATGGCCATTTATAGTGGATTTACCCATAAAAAATGGTGATTTTCCATAGCTATGTTAAATTACCAGAGGGTACAGCAATTGTTTAATTGAGAAAATGATGATTCACCAGTGGACTTGGGAGACTATTCCTATTTTCACACGGGGCACCTCACTCATCCAAGGGGAGGGGAAAGGTCATCCTGCTTCATGAGATGGTAAAACGCCGGTGATGCTTCACCCCCCCAAGTGATCTTCAACCCCTCGGCCCCTCAACAAACGATGCCATTCAAATCTCCAATTCCGGTGATGTTTTGATATCTAATCCCATTGATGAGTCCATTTCAGTCCCAAAACCTTAGTTCACTTAATCTCCAAATGTAGTTGGAAACAAGTTCTCAATGTTCCTCCCATCATAAAATATGTGCCTTCTATCAACAAAAATTATGGGTTTCTGTGAAACTAGTAACTAGGGCACCCCTATATAAAACTGCTGGTGAAACGTCACGGAATCCCCAGTTTAAGACACCCATATGATTGTTGGCAATACTATATATAATATGTATATATATATATATATCCCATAAACTGAGGTTATATATATCGATCAAACAAAGATGTAAGTCATAGCTGAGAATCTAAGATGGATATGTGTATATATATAGCTTGAGCTGTGCTTTCACTTGCCCGCCGGAAATTTAACATAGCTATGGTTCCAATGGCCCACGTTCGATGATTTACCTTTCAAAAATAGTGCTTTTACATAGCAATGTTAAGTTACCAGAGGAGAAATTATAAATATTGAACGTATCTTTATATCAATACTTAGATTGGCCATGGGATTGGCTTACTACTTAGGAACTGGCTTATGAGTGGCTAATAGTTGTAACTGAGTTACGAACCAGTTACCTCATCCCATGGCCAATGAGGTTCCCATCACAAGCCCAGAAAAAAGACGGAAATTCCGTTTTCAAATAGAAGATATTGATATTATTTTTCAGAGGTTGCCATCACAAGCCAAAAAAAAACGGAAATCCCGTTTTCAAATAGAAGATATTGGCATTATTTTCCAGAGGTTCCCATCACAAGCCCAAAAAAACGGAAATTCCGTTTTCAAATAGAAGATATTGGCATTATTTTCCAGTTATTGTTGGACTTTTGGTCATTTGAACTACTTTTGCACTCTGCAATATCTTCTATTTGAAACGCCTTTGGTCGCACCCCCAAAATGCATCGTCTATATACTTGAAATAATTCCTGAATATCTTCTATAATAACGGTATGGAGATGCGACAAACCATTTTTTAAATAGAAGATATTCGGTTGGATGATCCACCAAGTTTGTGCTTTTGGTGTTGGTCTAAATGGTTTTTAAATAGAAGATATTAGTTTGGACCCTCCCGGGACCATGGTTGCGGAGAGTGCCAAAGTAGCTCCAACATCCCGGATGTTCTACCATTTTGGGCCATTGAATTAATTTATCTTCTATTTGAAATGGCTTTTTCCGCGCGCCCAAACCCGTTTCAAATAGAAGATCGGTTTTCCGATAATTCCTGAATATCTTCTATAATAACGGTATGTACTATATTTCATAATATCCCATCCTTTACCAGAATATCCCATGATTCTTGGGGAACTATCACATTATTATAGTTGTTATACCTTCATATGATATTGCCATCACATCCCTAACAAAAAAAAACTATTTCCATTGTATTCCATCTTCCCATTACATTCCCACTACATGGTGATACCGTGATACCCTCTGTTAAACTGTCCCATAACTATGGAAAGATTCACCATGCTATTCATGGGAAAACTCACTATTTCGACTGGGCCATGTTCAATAGCTATAACCAGAGGGTATCACCATTTTTAATGGGAAATCACCATGCTATTAATGGGAAAATCCACTATTTCTATGGTCATTTTCAATAGCCAACTGCTGACATCACCAGAGGCTATCGACTTCCAACCTCCAAGGAATCCACCGTCGCCGCGTCGGACTTGGGTTTCAAAAGGTCCTCCCGCCTGGAGAAACAACGTGGACGAGGTACCACATCGGCAAAAAAACCATAGGAAAATGGATGGATAACTGGTTAAGCACTTGGAAACTTAGGCAACTCAACTCAGAGAACTTGAACTTAGAGAAGCCAGAGAAGTTAGAGAAGTCAGAGAAACTCAGAAAACTTAGACCATGAGATAACCTAGATACCTTAGCTATTTTTTGGGAATGACGTGTGGATTTTCCTAACGGATATCTGACTTGATGGAACCATTACCAAAGCTCGGATTGGGTTGGCTCGATCCCAAAAGCAACCCATTGATTTGTTTGCTGGTTCTTGTTGGCTATATAGTATAATAAACCCAATAATAAATCATCCCCAAATTGCTAAAAAATAAACACTTGAACGCTGAAAATGGTTTACAATTGGCTAAAAACTATGGATATCTATGGATACCCTCTGGAAAACTAACATAGCTATTGAAAATTACCATTTATAGTGGATTTTCCCATTAATAGCATGGTGGATCTTTCCAGTTCGCTATGTTAGTCATGACCAGAGGCTACTTCCCCGAATCCAATCTTGGTGACCTCCAGGAACGAATCTCAGGTCCGGCAGTCGTGGAGGTGGAGGCACACCATCCTGGGCATTCTGTTGCTGTTTAGGATGAAGAATCCATGTGGAAAAGCCATGGGAAAATGGGAAAACCATAGGAAAAGCTATAGGAAAACCATGATAGATGGTTTATCCCATTATCCCATTATTTACAGTGTTTCATAGTTGCTACCCCCTGGTAAACTGTCCCATAACAACTATGGAAAGATCCACCATTTCTATGGCAATGGATAAATCAACTATTTCTATGGCAATGTTCAATAGCTTTTTGTATGTTTACCAGAGGGTATCTACGGTTGACCCCATATTTTTTGCAAATGGTCTGAGGTTCTGGGATGTCTAGCTTTTTGTTGAAATTCCCATGATTCACCAAATATGTGTTTCTTTTTGGGGGGATGTGAAATGCGGTTGGATATGGTGTCGTTCCAGAATTTAGGGATATGATATACCCCAAGTTATGACCATGAACAACGGTAAAGATATGTTCTTAGGGGTACCATATTTTAAGAACCCATGGAGCATGGTCCCAAGATTCGGATCTTTCAGGATGGGAACATCCTTTGACAACATGAGACCGCATTGAAATCATGATATGCATGTGTGTGTGTGTTATACATATATGTATGATGTATGTAAGTACATATACCAATATATAATGCCAAAATATAACCGATTCTTTGTGATTGATGGTATGCCAAAAAAATAAATTGTGCATTTAAAAAAACGGGCAACAACTAACCATACGCAAATCATTTATGGCATCCCGTCCCATCCAAAGTGGGCAGAGGCTCCATCACCAGAGGCTTGAGCGGCATCCTCCATGGTTTCCTGCTGAAGTGTCCGCTCTGGTGGATGATTAAAGAGTGGTTTTGATAGGGTTTCAACCATCAAGAATATGGTGATTTAAGCAGATTTAACCATCAAAAAATAGGGATCGGACCATCAATAATATGGGGATACAAGTGGATATAAATATCACTATAATATAACTGATAAATGATGGTCGGTTGATGATTAGTTCGGGGTGAAAAACCAACTGAACTAATCTGCCCAATAGATTGAGAATTCATCCCCAACGGCCACTCATTTTTTGGGGACCACCATCAACTCATCGGGGAAACAGGGGTCGCCTCCTCGCTTCTGGTGGGCCCTGGATCCTCTCCATCCAGCGTCATGGCAAAAGTGAAGTCCTTCGGAGATGTCCAACGATTTTGCCCGAAATCCCAGGGGTTTTTTCCGGCTGGTACTTCGTTTCGCTGTCCCATGCACCAAGATTTCCACCCCTGAACTCAGCTGCTGGAAGATTGGAAGCCATCACTGGGTTGGCTTGGAGCATCTCCAGGAAACCATAAAATCACCCAAACATATCCAAACATGTGGGCTTCAACAATGGATTTTTTCCCTCTCAACCATTTCCGGGATTTGTCAAATCACAACTGTTTTCCAATCACAAATTCCCGTGTTTTCTCGTTCACAAATCATGGTTACAGAACAATTGGGACTACCGGTAGCCAAATCTGCCTTTTTTGAATCGCCCCAATACCCCTGGGCTCCCCAAAAATAGCGGTCCACTGGAGCTGCGAAGGAATCCTCTGCAGGTGAACCAGACCTAAGCTGTCATCAATATGTTGGTGACCTACTGTGGATGGAAGAAATCCTGCACCAGTTGATAGGTGGTTTATCCCATTATTTATAGGGTTTCAACCATCCAAGGTGGTGAAGGATTTCTTCCATCAACAGTAGGGTCCAAAAACATCCAAAAATTATCTTCAGTTCATATCTCTTTGAAAATCTAGACATTGCCAGAAAAGAACCAGAAATCCCGAGACGAGATGGCGAATGTCCAGTGTATCTCTTGTCACGGACATCCCTCATGGCAGCTAGGGATGGGGACATCTTCCAGTGACGGTGAGAGTCAGAATTGGCTATATATAATATAATATATATATATGTATTATATATATATTATATTATATTATATTATATTATATTATATTATATTATATTATATTATATTATATTATATTATATTATATTATATATATATATATATTATTATATTATATTATATTATATTATATCATATTATATTATATTATATCATATTATATTATATTATATCATATTATATTATATTATATCATATTATATTATATTATATCATATTATATCTTATTTTATTACATTACATTATATTCTATTATATTATATTTTATTTTATTTTATTGCATTACATTATATTCTATTATATTATATTATATTGCATTTTATTATATTATATTATATCATATCATATTGTATTATATCATATCATATTATATCATATTATATTATAATATATTATATTATATTATTATTATATATATATTCCACAAAAAAATATTGGAAGCGTAAAGCTTCGAATTATCAAAAGTATGTGGCTCTCGAAGGTTTGACCCACATCAAGTGTTTGCCAACTGAGTCTTTCGATAATCCGAGGATTCTTACAAGACCCATGGCAATCTCCCAAGAGTTGTTGCTTCAGTTCAACCACCCAATGAGATCTTGTATCTTTGAATCCTTTTTTCAACAAGGTGTTGGTTTCAACATCCACCAAAGATCTTTTTCAACGGAGAAGCGCGTCACCCAAGGCCCACACTTTTCAGCCTCAACTCCACCTGAAGCCACGGCAAAACTCGGCCAACTCTCATGGGTTTGACTCCGGTCTTTATTCCGCTTCTGAAGAAACAGAACGAACTCGGGGTTCAATTTAGAATGAGGAATTAAGCCTAATTAAGTTTGGATTTAATTCTGGGCTTGCCGTCAAACTATTTTACCATGTCAAACAAATAGTAGGAAGGACTTAAATACAAAAATCATTGGTCTCAATAGAAGGTGTGTGAAAAACATGCTTTGACGCAGCAGTTCCAATGTGGTTTACGAAAAAACACGCTGCCCACCGCACGCCTAGTACAGTACTGTGCCCACGAAAAATTTTCAGGTCATCTCACAAAGACATCTGCACTCAACAGCGCGTCTCGCAGCCGTACCAAATGGGCACTTGGGATGGCACTTACCTGGGGCTATCTTTTTAAGTGCCAGGAAATAACCACTGCATGTTACAATTTGGCCCCTGTAAGTACACAAATATGATCCCCGCGAACCACTAGAACTATAGCCCTAAGGAGCAGTGTAGCAGCAGTGTTTCCATGCAGCTGAATAGACATACAAAGTGAATCCCCAATATTGGATCCCAAGATCCCAACAGATCATTGGATCCAATTTTTCTAAGCAGGGTTGAGGTGAATCGAGAAGTTCTCAAGTCAGAAACGATGTCATTTTGAAGATGATCCCCCCCTCATACAAACCGCATCATAGAGACAGGTGCATCCACCACCAAAAAGCAGGGCCAGGAAATCCAGGACGGTGATTCTGTCTTATTGGATGCCTCTCAAAATATGGATATATTTAGATATATTTAGATATATTGACATTTAGATATATTGACATATGATTGATATATTGATATCTATCTATCCAGGACAGTGAAACCCAGGACTTTTCACAAGTTCATAATATCTTGATTGGATGCCTCTAACCTTGACATGGCCACCTCGTATTAACTCGTCTTTTTTAAGCAGGATCTTTGATTTTGTCCTCCCTTGACGGCTCAAAAAAAGCCCACTACGGTTTGCCCAGCCAGAGATGACACAGCAACGCGTCTCAACTTTTTTCTGCTGCAGGCGTACCAAATTGCGCCGTAAAAAGTGATGACAAATAATTGAACCATGAATTTGGTATTCTCTCAGTGGCTGCACCAACTTCGACTAGAAATCGCACAATGTCGAGGTGGCCATTTTGAGCTGCAAGCCACAAGGGCGTTGAACCATTGTTTTCTGCTTGATCTTTGGCTGCACCAACTTCGACTAGAAATCGCACAATGTCGAGGTGGCCAATTTGAGCTGCAATCAACAAGGGCGTTGAACCATTGTTATTCCCTTGATCTATGGCTGCACCAGCTTCGACTAGAAATCGCACAATGTCGAGGTGGCCATTTTGAGCTGCAAGCAACAAGGGCGTTGAACCATTGTTTTCTGCTTGATCAATGGCTGCACCAACTTTGACTAGAAATCGCACAATGTCGAGGTGGCCATTGTGAGCTCCTATCAACAAGGGCGTTACACCAATGTTATTCCCTTGATCTATGGCTGCACCAACTTCGACTAGAAATCGCACAATGTCGAGGTGGCCATCTTGAGCTGCAAGCAACAAGGGCGTTGAACCATTGTTATTCCCTTGATCTATGGCTGCACCGCTTTCGACTGAAATGCACAATGTCGAGGTCGGCCAATCTTGAGCTGCAGCCACAAGGCGTTGAAACCCATTCGTTATTCAAGGGCAGAGAGGGCCAGCCTCCCCCCTCTTAACCCCGCCGTCCCCCCCCCTGCTCCTCCTACTCTTTCATCTTCAATTCCCCCCTCCTTATTTTTTCCCAATGCACCAGCTTCGAATAGAATCGCCACAATTGTCGAGGTGGCCATCTTGAGCTGCAAGCAACAAGGGCGTTGAAAACATGGTTATCCCTTGATCCTATGGCTTGCACCGCTTCGCTAGAAATCGCACAATGTCGAGGTGGCCATCTTGAGCTGCAAGCAACAAGGGCGTTGAACCATTGTTATTCCCTTGATCTATGGCTGCACCAGCTTCGACTAGAAATCGCACAATGTCGAGGTGGCCATTTTGAGCTGCAAGCAACAAGGGCGTTACACCATTGTTATTCCCTTGATCTATGGCTGCACCAGCTTCGACTAGAAATCGCACAATGTCGAGGTGGCCATTGTGAGCTCCTATCAACAAGGGCGTTACACCAATGTTATTCCCTTGATCTATGGCTGCACCAACTTCGACTAGAAATCGCACAATGTCGAGGTGGTCATCTTGAGCTGCAAGCCACAAGGGCGTTGAACCATTGTTATTCCCTTGATCTATGGCTGCACCAGCTTCGACTAGAAATCGCACAATGTCGAGGTGGCCATCTTAGCCAAGCACAAGGAGTTACAAAAATGTTATTCCAGTGATATATGGTATGCACCAACTTTAGACTAGAACTCGCACAGGCGCGGTGGCCATTTGAGCGCAAAGCAAACAAAGGGGTTGAACCATGTCCTATTACTATGACTATGGCTGCACCAGCTTCGACTAGAAATCGCACAATGTCGAGGTGGCCATTTTGAGCTGCAAGCCACAAGGGCGTTGAACCATTGTTTTCTGCTTGATCTTTGGCTGCACCAGCTTCGACTAGAAATCGCACAATGTCGAGGTGGCCATTTTGAGCTGCAAGCAACAAGGGCGTTGAACCATTGTTTTCTGCTTGATCATTGGCTGCACCAACTTCGACTAGAAATCGCACAATGTCGAGGTGGCCATTGTGAGCTCCTATCAACAAGGGCGTTCGTTACACCAATGTTATTCCCTTGATCTATGGCTGCACCAACTTCAACTAGAAATCGCACAATGTCGAGGTGGCCATCTTGAGCTGCAAGCAACAAGGGCGTTGAACCATTGTTATTCCCTTGATCTATGGCTGCACCAGCTTCGACTAGAAATCGCACAATGTCGAGGTGGTCATCTTGAGCTGCAAGCCACAAGGGCGTTGAACCATTGTTATTCCCTTGATCTATGGCTGCACCAACTTCGACTAGAAATCGCACAATGTCGAGGTGGCCATTGTGAGCTGCTATCAACAAGGGTGTTACACCAATGTTATTCCCTTGATCTATGGCTGCACCAACTTCGACTAGAAATCGCACAATGTCGAGGTGGCCATCTTGAGCTGCAAGCCACAAGGGCGTTGAACCATTGTTATTCCCTTGATCTATGGCTGCACCAGCTTCGACTAGAAATCGCACAATGTCGAGGTGGCCATTTTGAGCTGCAAGCAACAAGGGCGTTGAACCATTGTTTTCTGCTTGATCAATGGCTGCACCAACTTTGACTAGAAATCGCACAATGTCGAGGTGGCCATTGTGAGCTCCTATCAACAAGGGCGTTACACCAATGTTATTCCCTTGATCTATGGCTGCACCAACTTCGACTAGAAATCGCACAATGTCGAGGTGGCCATCTTGAGCTGCAAGCAACAAGGGCGTTGAACCATTGTTATTCCCTTGATCTATGGCTGCACCAGCTTCGACTAGAAATCGCACAATGTCGAGGTGGTCATCTTGAGCTGCAAGCCACAAGGGCGTTGAACCATTGTTATTCCCTTGATCTATGGCTGCACCAGCTTCGACTAGAAATCGCACAATGTCGAGGTGGCCATTGTGAGCTCCTATCAACAAGGGCGTTACACCAATGTTATTCCCTTGATCTATGGCTGCACCAACTTCGACTAGAAATCGCACAATGTCGAGGTGGTCATCTTGAGCTGCAAGCCACAAGGGCGTTGAACCATTGTTATTCCCTTGATCTATGGCTGCACCAGCTTCGACTAGAAATCGCACAATGTCGAGGTGGCCATTTTGAGCTGCAAGCCACAAGGGCGTTGAACCATTGTTTTCTGCTTGATCATTGGCTGCACCAACTTCGACTAGAAATCGCACAATGTCGAGGTGGCCATTGTGAGCTCCTATCAACAAGGGCGTTACACCAATGTTATTCCCTTGATCTATGGCTGCACCAACTTCGACTAGAAATCGCACAATGTCGAGGTGGCCATCTTGAGCTGCAAGCAACAAGGGCGTTGAACCATTGTTATTCCCTTGATCTATGGCTGCACCAGCTTCGACTAGAAATCGCACAATGTCGAGGTGGCCATTTTGAGCTGCAAGCCACAAGGGCGTTACACCATTGTTATTCCCTTGATCTATGGCTGCACCAACTTCGACTAGAAATCGCACAATGTCGAGGTGGCCATTTTGAGCTGCAAGCCACAAGGGCGTTGAACCATTGTTTTCTGCTTGATCTTTGGCTGCAGCACCAACTTCGACTAGAAACCGGACTATGTCAAGGTGGCCATTGTGAGCTGCAATCGACAATGGTCTTACACCATTTTGATCGGCTTGATCTTTGGCTGCACCATGTTCGACTAAGAAGCGCACAGCGTCCAGGTGATCATTGCGAGCTGCAGCAAACAATGGAGTCTGCCCTCTGGCAAACTCTGGCTGATATGTTTTGGCTCCTGCCTCCAATAAGAGTTCCATAAGTCGAACATGTCCCTGCACTGCAGCGTGAAACAGGGGTGTCTTGCCGTCTTTGTCTGCCTCATTGGGATTTCGTGGTTGTTGCAGCAACTTTTCAAGAGCAACTACATCGTTGTCTCTAGATGCCAAGATAATTTTCTTTGTTTCTTCATCATCAGGTGGCCAGAATTCCAAGACCACCAGCTGGATCTTCACTGGAACTGGATCTAGCACTTCATCATCCTGGATCTCATGCGAGCCACCATCAACAAAAAAATGTTGCTTGAATCTGGAAATGCCAACTTTGGCTGCCAAGGCTTTCTTCACTGCCTTGGCTGTTTTGCCTTGCAGTTCATCATCAAGGACTGTGAGAGTCTCGCCCGATGTGAGGAAACACACCTCCATGGCTGCAAGACCCCAGGTGAGTACAGAACAAACAATTCTCTTTGTCTATAAACAATAAATGTGTGTACATGTCTATATATATATATACACTACATGTGTGTATGTGTCTATGTCTGTGTCTATGTGTATGTGTGTGTGTATGTGTATGTGTGTGTGTGTATGTGTATGTGTATGTGTATTCTATTGCAATGTAATGTGATGTGATGTAATGCAATGTAATGTATGTATTCCTTCATATGCAATACATTATATACATGTTTTAGTCTATCGTCATCATTCAATCGGAACAGATAAAACATGGACAAACTGTGTCACAATGAACCTGCCAACCCGGTACAAATGCAGTATGCACGCCAAACCTTTACCATGAAGGTCAGTTCTACACCCTACATGCTCCGTCGTGCTTCTTGAACATTTCCACTCTTGACACTCTTCCACTGCAGCATGTCACAAGCATTCATTCCGCAGCAACGACCTGGCCTGAGTATGACCAGATGATATGCAGGATACCCATTCAGAATTTGGATCCGGCCAAACATGTAGCATCTTGATGTTTTATGATCTCTAAAGTAAGTATCAAGCCCAAATAGTCTTGACACTTTTCCTGTCCTTACGATTTTTCACCGTGGTCTCTGTGAATGGTGTTTTTTTACCAATCATAAACTGGTCAGTACTTGTGTAATGTGGTAACCAATTATAAGCACATCCCTCAATTTTTGGGTTTTTTTTTGCCATCCCCCATTGGAACATCAGTCGATGCGCCAATGCAAGTGGAACTTGGTCATTAAGGGGATGGGATGAGTATTGTATCCCATTTTTTGGGGGGGGTACCCTCTGGTAAACTGCCACATAACTATGGACAATCACCATTTTTAATGGGAAAATCAACTATTTCTATGGCCATGTTCAATAGCTATTTTGACATAACCAGAGGGTAATTTTAATCCAATGATATACAAAGCCAGAGCTGTTTGATACCTAACAGATCATGGCCAATCTTGCATGGATACCCAAGGAACAACATAGTCGGAAAGCGTCTGTCTCCAAGCATGGACTCAACTCTGGGTTGAATTCCTGACGAAAATACTGGTGCCAACCAAATAGAAATCCATCCAAGTAAAGGGAATTGAATCCAGAGCTTATTCTACACAAAGCCTTTAGTGAATAGTAGGAACTGCAGAGTCTAGAAATTTTCTGCGTGAAAGTCTGGAGAGTATGGAGGAAGGAACCATTCCAGCGTAGCCAATGGCTGAGGACTTAACTCCATATCCACCCCGGAGCAAGAAAGAGTGCCATATGCACCGAAAAAAAAACGAGGAAATTCCAGCTGGAAACACTGCCTGTTGGACGTGGATCCCCCAACTGCTTTCCCTACAACCATGGGGACCAGAAAATTAATTGATCAAATGGCCGTAAGGAATGGTGGTAAATCCAAACAAATCCGAATTTTTGGACAACAGCGAGTATTGTGGTATATAACGTGCCTGCTCCAGTCGCCCCATGCGCTTCGTAGCTATCGGACAACAGGCCTTGTGTTTTTGCAGCAGTGGCAGTGGCCGCAAACTCTGGGGTACCAATAGAACAACCACCAAATAGTGATCAGTGATAAGTTAACTACGAGTACCAAAGGGTAATTGATTTGTGGGTACAGTACTCCCAAAAGTTGCTGCAAAAGCACAAATCAACCACCTTTGGGTCTGAAAATTGGGTCATTTATCCACCAAAAAAGTTGTAATTGAACTATTGAAAAATAGAGGTGTAAGGATCCAAAATAGGAATTTCACCGTGGGCATTTGGGTATGGTCAAGTTGTTGAGGTACCATTGAAAGCACAAAAGGCTTGGCATTTTTCGGAACTCAAACATCATCCATAACTTGAGGTTGTGATAATTTTGACCCATCCCCACAACTTTGTCGGTTCCATCAGCCCAAGTCATGCGGACAGCTACGGATAGTCATAGCCAAGGGGAACCCTGTTGAGTTGGTGTTTGGGCTGCGCTTGGAATCGTCATCGCGGGTGTACGTGTAAATAGTCTGTATATATATATATGTATATATATATAATACATACATACTGTATGTATAGATAGATATATATATATACAGATACAAAAACACATGTAGATACATTTAGGTACATGTAGATACATACATGTAGATACATGTAGGTAGACACATGTAGATATCTCAAACCACCAAACAGGAACTAAGCGGTTTTACATCGCATTTTTTGGATGATGTCCCCCATTTCATCCCATCTCTTGTTGGTTCAATCACCATTTTGGTTGGTTGAAGTCTAAGGAAATTGCGTCAAAAGGTGCGTATGTTTGTTGACCACCAAACAGGACCAAACACCTCATCAGGATCACAAAAGCACTTGAAGCTTAAGTCACTCAAGTCCGAACCCATGTTTTTCATTGTTTTTTCCATTTTTTGCAGCTGAAATTCCCGTCATAAGTGCCCATCTCTACGTCCACAACCATTGGAAAACTCCACCGGCTTGCGCAAAGGGGGGCGCCTTCCAGGGCGTAGGCAGCACGCAAGTCCTGGAGGTCCTGCCTGACCTGAGGCTGGACCTAAACCAAGCACAATGGGCCAGGATCTTTGGGGAAATCAGATCAGATGTCAGATGCAAGTGCATGGTACTTAGTCAAATTAAAGTTCTATGTTTTAGATTAAACCGTGCATGGTACCTAGTCAAATTAAAGTTCTATGTTTTTTTTGTAGCTGTCACTAAAAACTTTTTGAAATGAACATATTCCAACTGACTTGGATTCGTGAGAGATGTATATATATATAGGAGATCCGTAATATACGCTAGAGCCCCCCCATCATGGGGCAAACCCCTCCCTCTCTGGTAATATTCACCTAGATTTAGTTGCTACTTACACAGTTTGACGATTATAGCGAAGAAACATTCTTCAGGTGGTGATTGTATATACTGGCATAGTATGTGTGTATATATATATATTGTGTATCAGTATCGACTTGTGTAGGTATAGTTGTTGGTTGCGTGTGTGTGTGTGTGGTTGGATATACTGTGTAGCAATACATGAATTGAATGAACCAATTGACCAAAATTGATACTTGGACTATAGCTAATTGTTGCTTTCTGCTGGATTGTTGGTTTCTAGCCGACTGTTGTTTCATTGAGTGTTCCATCCTTACCAAATGATAGGAGGGAAGCCAAATCAACTACTTCTCCCCTGACCTCAAGAGCCGCTGTCACTCACTCCCTATGCATCAGTGAATTCTGCCTTTTATGGTACGAACACCACTTTTTCACAGGGGAGGGACCAACCATCTCCACCGATTCAATATGAGGATAAGTAGAAATCTTGACAGCATACCATCTGGGTATTTAACATAGCCATGGAAAATCACCACTTTTAATAGGTAAACCATCTATAAATGGTCCATTTTCCATGGCTATGTTAAATAACCAGAGGGTAAGTTTTAAAACCCGTTTGGATCCGTTTGGTATCTCGGGTCAACCACTGCCCCGCCAAGCTGCCGTTGAAGTGAGGCCTGCAGCGCAGCTTTTTCGACTGCCACTCCTCCCAAACTTCCGCACGATGACTGGAGTGTGGGAGTGATCTCAACGAATTTGGGCAAAAATACTGGTGAAAAATAGCACATAACACTTGTTCATTCTGAAAGACACAACATCTTTGACCCATAGGGAGCTGGAACTGTCCCCCGGAGCTTCAGGTCCTGCTGGTGGGCGGACTTTGACTTTTTTGTGGACCTGTGATCGCGGGAAGGCTGTAATGCACATCGCAATTTCAAGGTCCGAAATGCCTGGAAAGCCCATGAAACAGGCAGAACCCAACTATTTTCAAGGGAAAGGGATCAGAACTTTTGCTGCGCACCAGCTCGTGTATACTCCCTGACCAACGAGACTGATTGAGGATGGATGTTACATTGTCGCCACACACACACACACACACACACATTTACACTTGGCCGAATTGACCCAAAACAGAGGGAACCATTTCGCAGCTGTTTTCACCCCAGTCCAAACATGGAAGCTTCAACATTTCCACGTCAAAATTTTAAGAAAAAATGATGTAAAGGAACAAAATTTAAAAAAAATACAAGTTTTATCAAGTTTTCATACTTTTTCCAAGGACCCCCCATGTATTTCAAGCCCCGGTTTCGTGTCGGGCGCCTGCGCCCACAAAGTGTGTGTGGCGCCGTTCGCGCTCCGGGGAAGCGCTTTCGAGGCCTCGGGGCGTCATGAAAGATCCAGGGATTAGTTGGTGATTTAATGGTGTTAATGGAGATATTTCATGGGGTTTATCTATAGTATCTATAGTATAGTTGATGGGGTTTATCTGATGTTTAATGGGGTATCTATGGTTTATGTGCTCTATCTATGATTGATGGGGTATCTATAGTATCTATAGTATCTATAGCTGATTGGGTTTATCTATAGTTGATGGGGTTATTTTAATGGGGCTGATCTATAGGTAATGAGGGTATAGTTAACCGTTAACTACAGGTATTAACCAGGATTTGGTTACTTGTTGGATATTGATTGGTTTCTTATTGGATATGTCTTTATTGGTTACTTATAGCCCTTTTTGGTGTTGGTTAGAGATAGGTTGTTCCCCTTCTTTCTTGGTTAACCGTTAGAACGAAATGACTGGATACGCTACAAAAGAAGTATTACTATCAAGTGAAGTATCAGTTATAGCCCCTTACCCTCTGGTAAACTGTCCCATAACGAACTGGAAAATCACCATGCTATTAATGGGTAAATCCACTATTTCTATGGGCCATTTTCAATAGTGAACTGTTAAATTACCAGAGGGTATCACTTATAGCCCATTATTGGTTGAACTGACTTCTAACTTGGACTTTTCCCAAATGCTAGTGGGTTGCGACGTTAGAGTTGGTATCCATGATTTGGTTCGACTTCAGGTGAGGGACTGATGATGCCATTCATATTCATTATTTGTTGGTGAAATGTGGTGAACAAATCCCATCCATATGAATTCATGGTTGGGATAGTGGATATAAATCATGGGATGACAGGATATTTACTTTCAAAAATTCCTTCGTGTTGCTGGTTTATATTTTTTGGAGGGCCATTTATTTAGGGATTTTTTTTTTTTAGTTTAGGGAATTTTTTTTGGATTTCTTCCTGCTTACTCTATTGCCTCCTGCAGTGCTTCTCTGCTTCTTTGTTTCTATTCCTTTTTTTGTTTTTTTTGCTTTTCTTTGCTTTTTTGCTTTTTTGCTTCCCTTGCTTTTCTTTGCTTTTTTGTTTTTTTGCTTTTTTGCTTTTCTCGCTTTTCTGCTTTTCTTTGTTTTTTTGCTTTTCTTGCTTTTCTTTGCTTTTTTGCTTTTTTGCTTTCCTTGCTTTTCTTTGCTTTTTTGCTTTTCTCGCTTTTCTGCTTTTCTTTGCTTTTTTGCTTTTCTTTGCTTTTTTGCTTTTTTGCTTTTCTTTGCTTTTTTGCTTTTCCATGAGGTGTGGAGCAACATCTTCTATCCATCTATATCCATCTATATCTATCTATATCTATCTATATCTACGTATCTATATCTATCTATGTCTATCTATATCTGTATCTATATCTACATCTATGGCTGTATCTATATATCTATATACCTATATATATATCATATATCTATATAATTATCTATATATCTATATATCTATATATATATATCTATATATATATCTCTATATATATATATCTATATATCTATATATATCTCTATATATCTCTATATATATCTATATATTTCTATATATCTCTATATATATCTATATCTAGATATCTATATACATATCTATCTATCTATCTATCTATCTACCTATCTATCTATCTATCTATCTAATTATCTATCTATCTATCTATCTATCTATCTATCTATACTATCTATCTATATATCTATATATCTATATCTCTCTCTATATATATACTATATATCTATATATCTATATATATATCTCTATATATCTATATCTCTCTCTCTCTGTATATATATATATATATTTATACCACCATATATCTATATATCTGTATATATCTATCTATATTTCTATATGTATATATACATATATCTTTGTATCTATATATCTTTAAATCTATATATCTATTTATCTATTTATCTATATATCTATATATCTATATATATATATATCTGTATATATATATATATATATCTACCTAAAAGGTTTGCATTATCATGCGGATGATATTCAAACCCCAAGCCAACCCTGAACCACACCTTATATAAATAGATCTTAAACCAACTCGATGATAACATCAAATGAAACTATTGTGCATCGTTGTGCCTTAACCTACATTCCACATGTTTCCAAGGTGCATGTCGTGTAGTATATACACCTTGAGTATCACATTCAACCTAGCACCTTGCATGTGAAAATAGGTGTTTCCAATCTGCTTTGGGGGGGAGGCGCTGCGCCGTCCCCCCCAATCCCCCCCTCCCGTTTTTTTTTATTTAAATTCAAGCTTGCACACATTTCAATACACTACTTTGGTTAGATATATATATATACATTGTATATATATATATTGTATATATATATATTGTATATATATATATTGTATATATATATTGTATATATATATATAACAACACTAACAACACCAACAACACTAACACTAGCAACACTAACAACACTAACAACACTAACGGTAACAACAACAACAACAACAACAACACTAACAACACAACAAACAACAACAACAACAACAACAACAACACCAACAACAACACACACCAACACCAACACCAACAACAGTAACAGTAACAACAAACAACTGTTGGAATGTCAGCCTTCAGCTCCAAAATCCTGCAAGTACTGTGAGGAATGTAGCTGTAAAATGTTGCACATACGGTGGAAATGCAGATTCCAGCTCAAAAATGCTGCAAAGAGCATGGAAAATGGACAGAACATGCTGCAAACTGTTGCAAATACCGTGGAAAATACAATGGAAAATGAGAGGTTCGAACTCAAAACCGTTGCACATACCGTGGAAATGGCAGTTTCCAGCTCCAAAATGCTGCAAATAGCATGGAAAATGGTGAGAACCGGAAATCCAAAAAAAATTCTCCAAACTAAAAAAAAAAAATCCCCAAACAATTTCCTACCCATATTTTTTTCGAGTTGTCTCAAATTTTAGTGGATAATGGTGAAGCCAGAATGTAGGGCAGCAGCGAATGGATTCACAAATGTAGGGATTGTTGGGAAAACATAGGGGGCCAGAGCTTGAGGGAACTTAACACCTTGACCTTACCCCTCTATTCATCAATCAGTCATCAACCAGCAGTTGTGTTGGTAATCGCTACTCATCTGGGACGATCATGGGGTCAGTAGAATCCCTATCTTAACCAATGGGCTGACCTGTTCCCCAGAAAATCACCAACATTGCCAGCTGCTCATATCCCCTTCATCCGATTTTTGCCATACCAGTGGGATTCTGACCCGTTTTGAAAAGGCGTAGTGGCACCTGAGAGATAACAATTTGGTTGTTGTAATCCAAAAAACAAATCCGTGGTGAAAATCCCATCATGTCCCATCATGTCCCATTGAAAAATCCCATGAAGATCCCATTGTCTCCAAATACCCTCTGGTAATGACTAACATAGCTACTGAAAATGGCCATTTTTAATAGGAAAACCATCTATTTCTATGGGCCGTCTATACCATAGCTATGTTAGTTTACCAGAGGGTAAATCCTCCACACAAATCACTGTAGAATCACCAAATAAATCACCATTGATCTGTGCGGCTGTTCCCCTCATTTTGTCGGATCTCCAGAGCGCCGAGGTGCTCCCGTGGCTGTCACTCTCTCGAGAGCGCACCTTCGTTGGCCTGGAAGGTGCTGACTATGGAGGATACTCGAAGGTACGGTCAGGTGATGGTAGGCTTATGGCCAGGGTTCCCAAATGTTCCCAACATGAATATGGCAATATGATGGGCAGATGATGGGAATGGAATACCCTCTGGTACACATACAAAAAACGATTTTGAAAATGGCCATTAAAATAGTTGATTTACCCAATGAAAGATGATGATTTTCCATAGCTATGTTGAATTCCTATGGGAAAATGATGGAAAATGGTGAAGTGATGAACCATCAAATTTTTGGGTGCCCTACAATTTTCAGAGAAACCAATTTGGCTATGGGTCCAAGCACTGGTACCCTACTGCTCACCCAAATAGCTCATCATGGATGTTCCACCCATTCATGTTTAATCATATTTATAGGATTTTATATAGGTTTTACCCATCCCCAAGCCATATTGAAAACATGTGAAAACGGTTTTGCCCGTCCCCACATGAAATTTTCCTTGCTCCAGGGGGTCCCAGGTCCTCTAGCACTGCATCCCCGCCTCTGCTCTTCCGAAGACGGCTCCACAGCGGCCTTGGACCCATGGGATGCGCATCAAAAATAACTCGATGCACAGTGTATCATATGTGAAGTATGTCTAAGATCATGTACATATCTAAGTGTATATACAAGATATATATATATATGTGTGTGTAATACATATATATATATACATAGAAGATAGACATATATATATATAATAGTTGTATTTGTATAGATGTATATACCTCTAACATCATCTAACACACAAGATTTAGAGGCAAAAACATGTTTTGGCATCTTCCAAACATAGCCCAGAATCCATGGCTGATATCCAGCTCAGGTCGTGAAACCTATGGGGACTATGGGAATACTATGGGGTCATCCATCCCATGTCAAATCCGAACGTAGTGGGTAAAGAAACTCCTATTTTCAAATCTCCCATGAAATCCCACTAAAATAACATGAAATTCCGCTAAATGACATGAAAATCCGCTAAATGACATGAAAATCCATTGAAATGACATGAAACCCTACTAAAATTGCATGAAATTCCGCTAAAATGACATGAAACACCACTTAATTGACATGAAATTCCACTAAAATAGCATGAAAGTCTACTAAAATGACATGAAAATCCACTAAAATGACATGAAAGTCCAGTAGAATGACATGAAATCCTACTAAAATAAGATGGTCCACCAAAATGAATGAAAGCCCACTAAAATGAGATGATAGTCCACCAAAATGACATGAAAGCCCACTAAAATGAGATGATAGTCCACCAAAATAACATGAAAGCCCACTAAAATGAGATGAAATTCCACTAAAATGAGATGAAAGTCCACCAAAATGACATGAAATTCCACTAAAATGAGATGAACGTCTACTAAAATGACATGAAATTCCACTAAAATGAGATGAAAGTCCACCAAAATGACATGAAAGCCCACTAAAATGAGATGAAAGTCCACCAAAACGACATGAAATTCCACTAAAATGAGATGAAAGTCTGCTAAAATGACATGAAATTCCACTAAAATGAGATGAAAGTCTACTAAAATGAGATGAAATTCCACTAAAATGAGATGAAAGTCTGCTAAAATGACATGAAAGCCCACTAAAATGAGATGATAGTCTACTAAAATGCCACTAAAATGAGATGAAAGTCTACCAATGACATGAAATTCCACTAAAATGAGATGAAAGTCTGCTAAAATGACATGAAATTCCACTAAAATGAGATGAAAGTCCACCAAAATGACATGAAAGCCCACTAAAATGAGATGATAGTCTACTAAAATGCCACTAAAATGAGATGAAAGTCTACTAAAATGACATGAGAGCCCACTAAAATGAGATGAAAGTCCACCAAAATGACATGAAAGCCCACTAAAATGAGATGATAGTCCACCAAAATGACATGAAAGCCCACTAAAATGAGATGATAGTCCACCAAAATGACATGAAACTCCACTAAAATGAGATGATAGTCCACCAAAATGACATGAAAGCCCACTAAAATGAGATGATAGTCCACCAAAATGACATGAAACCCCACTAAAATGAGATGATAGTCCACCAAAATTACATGAAAGCCCACTAAAATGAGATGATAGTCCACCAAAATGACATGAAAGCCCACTAAAATGAGATGAAAGTCCACCAAAACGACATGAAATTCGACTAAAAAGAGATGAAAGTCCACCAAAACGACATGAAATTCGACTAAAATGGATTTCTTCATCCTGTTTTCCCATCCGAAATGGGTTCTTAATCCTCCACCAAAACGGCTCTCCAGGTCACGGGAGATGCTTGTCTTGAGGACGTGGATAGGCCCTGTCAGGGTTGGATCATATGCATAGAGTAGATTGTTTAGTAGAGTGTATATGGTGCGTGTGTGTGTGTGTGCGTGTGATATATATATATATGTATATATATATACACACAATGTGCATGTGTATAGTGTATATAGTGTACATATTAATACATAGTGTATAATTAAAGAGAGAGAGAGAGAGCCTCAGTGGCCACTTCAGTCTGCTTCAGCGAGGGCATCCTCGTTGTGGAGATGCGCTCCTGGCGCGGTGGTGAATGGAGCGTCCAATGCGAATGGTCAATGGTAAATGAAACAAGTAAATTAAAAAGATAAATAAATAAACAAATAAATAAACAATGGTTTGTGGATAATAATAAACAAGGAATTGTTAATAAATCCATTACTATGTTGGTAGTATGTGAATGGCTAATGCTAAATGGCATTGATTAACATGCTCCAAAAACATGAAATAACCAACATGGTAATTCAGACAGTACACAAAAGAAACACATACTAATGGTTCATGGTAAATGATAATCCAGTAGTCTAACTTCCACTAGCCATGAACAATTAACCATTCACCAATCAAGAACAATTACAAATCCCATCCCGTGCTGCTCAAAATATGCCCCCAAACGAATAGACCTAAGCCATGGTTTCGTTTGGGGGATACTCCGATGGGATTGATGCTTGTGTTTTAACTCCCATTGACTATTAACAAACTGATGAAAACCAGGACTAATAGTTCACAACCACTGCGTCACTACGTATTTGGGCGTGTCCAAAAAGTCAAATAATTTACCATTCCATCCACTGATTCATCATCAGTCACCCACTGTTTGAATTGTTGCAATAAATGGGTTTGTCTGAGAATATACGCCCAAAAAAAAATCAATCACCAATCACCAATTCATATTTCCATCCATTTTCCCTATGAAAATATACCCAATCACCATTTCCATCCATTTTCCCATGGAAAATCTCGCTGCTTTGGAACGGTCAATCCATTTTAAGCCAAGGCTCATCAGGCCCTGCTGAAGGTGCCGGTTGTAAGTCCTCCAGGTCCTCAACGCGTTCCTCCTGGTCTGTTGCAAACTGCTGGGATAATATTTATAATGTATATAATATATATATATACAGTTTTTTAATAGATATGGAGAACAAAAAAAAAAGAAAGAGATCGAGAATAGTACAGCCATTCAAAGCTGAAAGGAAGATAATCTTTAAGTTTTGATCCATGCACCTGGCATTAGTTTCTGTGTGCTGCAAAGTGTTCTGGGTTCACCCAGGTTAGGGTGAACATCCGCGAAGATGAACAGGCTGACGTTCTCTGCCGGTCGCACCTTGGTTTTTGGCGTTTCGGCCGCTGCCGCATTCACAGCCGGCGGTCGCGAATTCGTCCTGCCGACGGAATCGGAATCCGATCGACGTGCCCAATTTAAGTTGGGATCTTAGGGGATTTTCACTTCGCATCCGAAGCACTGCGTGGCTCGCCCCAAGTGATCCACTGACCAATGCACTGACCAAGACGACAAGGATGATCCCAGAAAGATAGATGCTCTAATCTTGCAAATCTAGAACAGCAGGAAGTGAAGGACACAAAGCAAAAACGTGTAGTTGTCTATGTATAGATGGTTCCATAGTCTTTATACATCTCATATGATTGCAACATGCAGATTACTCGTCCCCACTTGTCATCAACCTGTGATATTCCCATTCCAACATCGAGATCTTCTGCCTTGAAGACCACCCGAAAAACCGCGCCTTGAAATGTGTAATTCCTTGGTTTTTTGGGCCGGGTCACTTTCAATCGGACTTTCATGACAACTACCCTCTGGTAATTTAACGTAGCTTTAAGTTCACCAAACCACCGTTAATTCTTATTTTTTTAAAACTTGAAAAAAAGCGCGAAAAATGCAAAAAAAAATGGAAAAACCAAAAAGCAAATCAGCAAAATCCAAAAAACACAAAAGCAAAATAAAAGGGGAAAAAAAGGGAAAAAAAAGGAAAGACAAAAAGGGGAAAAAATGGGAAAAAAATGGACTTGTCCATTTGCATTTTTTTTGCTTTTTTTTGTTTTTTCGATTTGCTTTTTGTTTGCGTTTTTTTTGCTTTTATTTTGCTTTTTTCCAGGCAAAAAGCAAAAAAAAGCAAAATAAAAGCAAAACAAAAGCAAAAAATAAAGCAAATCGAAAAAGCAAAAGAAAAGCAACAAAAATGCAAATGGACAAGTCCATTTTTTTCCCATTTGTTCACCCTTTTTGACGTTCCTTTGCTTTCCCATTTATTTTGCTTCCTGTTTTTTTCGGTTTTGAAGTTTTGCTTTTTGATTTTCCATGTGTTTTCCTTTTTTTTGCTTTTTTTTCAAGTTTAAAAAACATTAGAACTAAGGGGAGAGGTGAACATAAACGTAGCTATTGAAAATGGCCATTAATAGTGGATTTTCCCATTAAAAATGGTGATTTTCCATAGCTATGTTAGTTTACCAGAGGGTACCTGAGATGACAATATCTATGGCTCAAAATTATGGACACACCGATTTTGTGGAAGCAAACATGGAAGTGAAAATCCCTGACTCCGGGACTTTTGGGGATGCAACAAATAGTGGCAGCAGCTGCTTTCAGGACTAGTTCATTGGTTAGCTTTGAGGGGGTTGGGAAAAGCTGAACCCCACATCAGTTGCCTTCGCCACACACACCCCTCATTTCTGGCACTGGTTCAAGTCGCGACAAGTTCAGCTGCAAAAAAAACATAAAGTCGGGTTGATGTCGAATTTAGCGGTGACGGACAACAAGCTGAGTAACTCCACCCTTGATCGGAACTTGAAGGATACCCTCTGGTAATTTGTTACAGTTTGCTATTGAAAACGGCCATAGAAATAGTTGATTTACCTAATTTACCTATGAAAAATGGTGATTTTCCAGTTCGTCATGTACAACCTTTACTTCAACGGTAGGATCATTTGTCCGAAGGATGGATCCTTGAGCCTTGGCATCCCAACGTCTCGCAGCACTTTGGAGTCCTGCGTAACAACCTGGGGCAGTGGATTGGATCCCCGTGGTTGCCACCTTTGGGCTGCCAATCATCCCAGAGACTCTGGTCAAATATCCAAACGGGGCAACGCTGGGTAGATCAATGGATCAATGTTCATGGATCTGTAGACATTTATATATAATTATATATATAATACACACTCGCACACGTAGCATCTCTCTGATTGAAAAATATAAATATATAGAAGAAAACAACTCTGCAGGTGAATTCATTCACTTTTTCTATTCATCAAATCTGTTATTCATCGGCATGCAGGGCACAGGATCAAGAGCATCAAATGAATCCAAACACACATGTGTATATGTATACGTGCGTATTGTATTGTATATTATAACTATGCTACCCCGCAAATAAACATGAAAAATAACTCCCTAGCGTCCGATTTTGCTAGTTGTCTAATATCTTGTTGTATAGTACTGAGTTCTATACTAACATAGTCATGCAGTCATATACTTGTATAGTTATGCAGTTGCAAGTAGATAGTCAGATATGTTTTTTATAGTTAGATATGTTAGATAGTTAGATATGTTAGATATGTTAGATATGTTGGATAGTTAGACAGTTATAGATAGTTATGTTAGCTATGTTCAGAAACAGAAACGTATCTGCCCATCTCTCACTCACCGGGAGACCGCTGGACTCGGCGAAAGGTGCCGGTTAGAGGTCGACGGTAAAACTGCTTGGCCGCCTAGGGAAAAACCAGACATTTGGAGGATTTCTCTGGGATTTTTCCCCGGAAAATGTGGTTTCTACCAGGAAAAATTCGAAGAGTTAGGGGCTCTTAGCCCTGAAATTTACCTTGGGTTCCTGGTTTTGTTGTCTGAAACTGGAAAGATATGAATAGAACTCGAGAACTTTAAAAAATGAAACCACCAAACCAGAGGAAACCCAGGTGAACATCCCAGGGGTGTCATCAACGACTTGTTGTTTCCTTTAATGCCCTCCAATTCATTTATTCATAGATTCTATATTCAACAAGTTACCATTGTATGACATTGGATAGATGGAATGGATTAATATGGATTATCTTGGATATTGGTTACACCTATCCACCTACATCCCCAGAATAGAATATGGGGAGAGAGTCCATCTGTTTTATCATGTTTTATCTTATCCAAACATTCGAAGGTAGAGCCAGAGAAACGGAAAAGGAGAAAAATATTTCAGACTCTGACCATTTCATCAAAATCATTGGCCCCAAAAAATGCATGCGTTCAGACTTTCAGATCCATGTTTTAATGACCATGGCCATTTCAATTTTGGGGGTACCATGACTTGAGCCCAAGAAATTCCATGGTGAAATCCCTGCGTGTTTTAGATGGTGAGATTCCTACGTTGGACAGTGAAAAATCGCTGATTCTCCATTTTGAGTAATGCAATACCCCCTGGTAAATTAACATAGACCCTGGCAGATAGGGGTTGGAAGATTAGTTTCCATTAAAACTAGGCTATTTTCAGGGTCTATGTTAATTCACCAGAGGGTAATAATAGTAGTAAATCCTCATTGACTAAATCCCAAGTTATGCATGTGTAAATCTCTCTTTTCAGCCACTTTCATCATCAAAAATCCTCATGTTGGGGAGTTTAAGCCCATCAAGAATCCAATGAAAGCCCCTATTGTTGATGGTGAAAATCATGTTACCTTCCGGCAATCAAAAGTAGCTTGTTGGAAAATACAGTATTTATAGATGAATTTCCCAGCTAGAAACCTCCATTTAGTTCGGGCATTATTCACACCGCCCAGTGAAACCATCTAAAACCGCCAGTGAAGCCATCTGAAATCCTTTCATCTTGCAGCAAATCATAAATCTGATCCAAAAATCCTATTAAAACCCTAAAAAACTATAGATATCTCCACAACAACTATCCAAGCATAGATATCTCGGGGAAAAAAAAAACATAGATATCATAGTATCCCCAATGGTTATCTATACCTTAAATATCCATACTAACCACAGTAACCATAGATATCTCATAGATATCTCATAGAATAAGCATTCAACCATAACCATTGAGCTATAGTATCGATAACCATAGATATCCATAGACATCCCATTAATAACTCATATAACCATGATAATATCCCATATAAACATGGTATCCATATCCATTTTATAGATATATATATATATATATAGACATATACATAGATATATATAGATATACAGACATATAGATATATAGATAATATATATATATAGAGAGATATGTATATATATATATATATAGTGTTTTTTTCCAGCATATTTAGATATTGACCCACATTTTTAGACACCATTTTTTTCTATATAACCCAATATTCAATGGATTGGTTTAAGGGAAAAATTACAGGAAAACCCCCATATTTAATGGGAAAATCTATGGTTTCCTGTAGATTTTCCCTTAAACCAATCCATTGAAATATAGATATATAGATATATAGATATATATATATATATAGTGTTTTTTCCAGCATATTTAGATATTGACCTACATTGTGAGACACCATATATCTATATAACCCAATATTCAATGGATTGGTTTAAGGGAAAAATTACAGGAAAGCCCCATATTTAATGGGAAAATCTATGGTTTCCTGTAGATTTTCCCTTAAACCAATCCATTGAAATATAGATATACCATGTCCACCATTAAACCCACCATTTCTTCCAACCCAAAGGGGCACCTCCCTGGCGCCCGCGGCTCCCGGAGGCGCTGGAAGGGCTGGAAGGGCTCAGGCTGCCCGCGCGGTCGTCCTCACGGGGCACCTTTAAGGTGGCGCTGGACACGCCTGGCGCAGCCGTGGAGATGTCTCGCGTCGGTTGATATCTATCTATAGATTTATATATATATAGAGATATAGAGATATATATATATATAGATATCTAGAGATCGAGAGATATTGATATCTAGAGACCTAGAGATATAGATATAGATATCTATGTAGATGTATGTTACATATGTGTATACCTAGATATATATATATAAATATGAGATTTCATGTGTATTTACGTTACATATGTATCTATATTGGTATATGTAAATGAATGTGTAAATGAACACGTATACGTTTCAGTGAATACATATTCAAAACTGTTGCAAGAGTCTGCTGCCGCTTAGAAAAGTTGTAGATCTACATGGGGTTTTCCATGGGGTGTCGGGCAGCATGCTGGACGCCTGTTTTCCGCTCCTTGTCTGGCATGGAATCGGCAGACCTCAGAGTTGATGCCTTTGACTTCACCAAAAAATCGGCTAAGACATTGAATACATGTGTGTATATATATATATAGATATCAAATATATATATATATCAAATATATATATATATCAAATATATATATATATATCTATATATATATATCTATATATATCTATATATATATATATCTATATATATATATATCAAATATCTATATATATATCAAATGTCTATATCTTTATATATATATATATCAAATGTCTATATATATATATCAAATGTCTATATCTTTATATATATATATATCAAATGTCTATATATATATATCAAATATCTATATATATATCAAATGTCTATATCTTTATATATCATATATCTATATATATATATATATATATCAAATATCTATATATATGTATATATCAAATGTATATATATATATATGATTATATTATATATATATATTTTGACTTCACCAAAAAGATAAGATTGGATTCCATTAGATTGAGTGATTGACATTGAAGTGGGTGAAGTTCCGATACTTCACTGCCACCAGTTTTTGTTCACATCCCACGTGTTGTCCCTTTTTATATTGGGTATCTGATTTCGTGTGTTGTCAGTGAGACTATGAACTTGGAGCCTCCCCAAGAGCGATAGTGGTGGATGTTCTATCTATTCCATCTATCCTAGGTGATTTTCTATCTATGTTCTACAAATGGAATTGGTTGATTCTCTTTTCTTCCAGAAAAACAGATTGCCACAGGAAATCACCACATTCTCAGCTTCCAATTCCACCCCTGCCGATTGAGGCAGGTGGCATGGGCCTAGGAAGAGAAACGGGTGGGCCTTTATCTGCCTCGCAGAAAAAGCGGCTGAGGGTGCAGAAATGGCATGATTTTTTTGGGCGGCGTAATCGAAATCGACCCACAGTTTTGGAGATTGTTCTGGCACATTGAGACTCTTTGGGTACACCAAACATGTGTCGCGGTATAGAAGCCACATTTTTTTTGCAGGCAAAAAAAGTCTACATGGATTGCCCTTCGACCAATCCTGGACTTTTTTGGTACAATAAAGAACAACGTCAATTTCTGCACAGTTTCCCCTCCCGAAACCACCATATTCAGAGCTCTCAAGCAGAGATGCGCCTCATCATCTGTTTTGGCTCGGCAGGGGTCTGGCGGAGCCTTACTTCGGAAACGATTTTCCCAGCGAGATGTTTGGAGGATTCGACCAACCCGACCTGGAGATCAAACCACCAAAACTACGGAGTGAACCAACCAAAGTATCCAAATTATTCAATTTTGCCCACAAGTTGCCATTTCAAAAAAAACTCAGACACCATGTTTGCGGTGTAAATGTCCACAGTGTTTTATCTGATCTTACCATGTTTGTTGCTTCTTATCATCCACAATGCACCATTTTGAACCCAGGATCGTCCCAACTCGATCCCCAGGGGCATGGTGTCAAGGCCAACCAATGGTTGGCCAAGAAAAGAACAACTTGTTGCAAGCGTTTCGTCAGCGAAACATTTGGCTGATTTCCAATGTGACTATACATTGGGACTCCCAAAATGACAGTGTGTCAAAACCTTGTACCCCTGGTGAACATCAAAATAGCTGGTAAATGGATGTTCATCCCACTAAAAATGGTATATATATAGGTATTGATCCATACCCAAATAACAACTTATGACAATGGCCCTATCCAAAATCAGCCAAATTTGGTTCAAAACGTCCAGGTCAAAATGATCGATGACTACGCCAATGACTTGACCCATATGCCATAGAATTCAATATATATGATATAGAAATAGATATAGATATAGATAAAGATATAGATATAGATATGGATATAGATACAGATACAGATACAGATACAAATACAGATACAGATACAAATACAGATACAGATACAGATACAGATATAGATACAAACACAGATACAGATATAGATATAGATATAGATACAGATTCAGATACAGATATAGATATAGATATAGACAGACAGAGATATAGATATAGACAGAGATAGATATAGAGATAGACAGAGATATAGATATAGATACAGATATAGATATAGAGGAACAGAGATATAGATATAAACAAAGATAGATATAGATGTAGACAGAGATATAGACGGAGATATAGATATAGATATAGATATAGATAGATACAGATACAGATACAGATATAGATATAGATATAGATACAAACACAGATACAGATATAGATATAGATATAGACAGATAGAGATATAGATATAGACAGAGATAGATATAGATGTAGACAAAGATATAGACAGAGATATAGATACAGATACAGATACAGATACAGATGTAGATGTAGATATAGATATTAGATATAGATATAGATATAGATATAGATAGACAACCCGTCTATGTATGTACATATATACATGTGTATACATGTAGCCATACATGTAGATACGTGTATAAATCGTGTAGCCATACATGGATAAGGATGGAATGTCAATGTCAAAGTCAACCATCCCAAAATGGGAGGTTTATGGCATTGGGTGTACTACCTGATGTAAAAAGAATCTAACGGTTTATGTCATGGAAAAAAAGGAAATGTCAATGTTATGTCAATGTAACCTCTCACAATCTATCATAATCTATCATAATCTATCATCCCTCCATCTATCTTGCCCTCTGGTAAATTAACATAGACCCTGGCAGTCATCGGGGTTGGAAGACTAGTTTCCATTCAAAATTGCTGATTTTCAGGGTCCAACTGTTAATTTACCAGAGGGTAATATGGCAGTGTGTCAAAACCTTGTACCCCTGTAGTTCACATCAAAATAGCTGGGATTTATGGATGTTCATCCCACTAAAAATGGTACTTATAGGTATTGATCCATAGCCATAATCTATCATAATCTATCATAATCTATCATAATCTATCATAATCTATCATAATCACATAATCTATCATAATCTATCATCCCTCCATCTATCTTACCCTCTGGTAAATTAACATAGACCCTGGCAGTCATCGGGGTTGGAAGACTAGTTTCCATTAAAAATTGCTGATTTTCAGGGTCCAACTGTTAATTTACCAGAGGGTAATATGGCAGTGTGTCAAAACCTTGTACCCCTGTAGTTCACATCAAAATAGCTGGGATTTATGGATGTTCATCCCACTAAAAATGGTAGGTATTGATCCATAGCCATAATCTATCATAATCTATCATAATCTATCATAATCTATCATAATCTATCATAATCACATAATCTATCATAATCTATCATCCCTCCATCTATCTTAATATCTATCGTTCCTTTGTTCTTTCAATCCATGTAGGCTTCACAGTTGCCGCCGCGGCGCCGAGGATCCCCTAGCCGCGACCTTGTTGCGCTCCGCCGGCGCGATGGGCGGCGTCGGCAGGGCGTTCTGATCCGACGGCGTCGGCACGGCTTCTCGGACCTGCGGCGTCCACAATGGAAGTAGGATGGTACAGGATGGGCCCCAGTGATGTTTGTTGGTTTATAAACCGTTCTAACCCCCATTAACTATAGTAACTAGTTATATCAGCCATAAACCATAAGGCAACTGAACGCTATCGACTCGGGGCCCCATCCTGTAAGATAGGGGATACAATGGGAATATCATGGGATAATGGAGATATAAACCAGTCAATGAACATAGGGTCTATCTGAAAATTTGGTAAAACGTGATCTCTGCGGGGGCATTCTGAGGGTATACCCTTTGGTAAACTAACATAACTATGGAAAATCACCATTTTTAATGGGAAAATCCATTATAAATGGTCATTTTCAATAGCTATTTTGACATAACCAGAGGGTATACCCCATTTTCAACACCCCAATGGATCAACCACTGAAATCTGCCTCGATCTCTGGAGAAGCCTGCCTGGTGCCGGTGACATGATCGATCCACGGTCAGTAGCAAGCAGCAAACTCGGGTGTGCAAAGTCCCCAAATTCAGCATCATTTATATCTATTATATATATATATATGTATCTATTACATATATATATATATTATTATATATTATATATATATATATTATATTATATATATATTATATTATATATATATTATATATATTATATATTATATATATTATATATTATATATATTATATATATTATATATATTATATATTATATATATTATATATATTATATATATTATATATATTATATATATTATATATATTATATATTATATACATGATATCATTTACACCAGATTACACCAGCCCATTTTTGCTCATCACACAATGTTTGGGGCAAGACTGGAACCACTGCAAATCCACTGAACCCTTGCGGCCCTCGCGCCTTTCGGTCTTCTCACCTATGGTTCGAAACTCGGAGTCACAAAAAATGATGACCACTACATCATCATGATCATTCAGCTTATGAAGACAATAATGATGATGATCATAATAATGACAATGATAATGACAAATGACAATGATGATAATGACAAATGATAATGACAAATGATAATCATAATGAGGACAATGATAACAATAATAACAAGAAAATACAAGAATAACAAGCACTACCGCCGCCACCACCACCACCAGCAAAAAAAAGAAAGTCCGCCCACAGGATGCCCGCCGCTATGCCTGTCACCGAAGGCGAGGATCCATCGTCATCATCGAACTTCACGTCCTGGCCAACGTGGTCACCGTAGGTTTCAGGCTGCACCACGGGGACCACCAGGTATGGGGCAAAACTCATGGATTTTTGCGGGTGAACATCAAAAAACTGGGATTTATGGCAATTTATGGATGCTCAAACTGGTTTATAACTGGGCTGTATTAGGATACTTTGATTATTTGATTCTGGTTTCTATATCCATTGCAACCAATCCCATCCCCCTGATATTCAATGCTCCCATATGGGCCCCGGCCCCCAATCAGAACGGAGGAGTACCCAGAGCCCACAGCGGTGAACAAGCACCTAAATGGTGACTATGGTGACTATAAGCGTGTGCAAACAGTAGGGAAATGCTCCAAATTCATCAAAATCATCCATTTTTCAAATCTCTATATATATATATTTACTATACATATATATATATATATATATATTGTGACATAAGTAAACCAAAAGGAGGAAGAAATGACCTCAAAAAACCTCCAGAAACATCAAATTGCAGACCTGATATCCCCAGCGACCCGACCTGCTTCTGCTCCGGCGACCCCGGCCCGGACTGCGGAGGGGTGGCACCTGGGACACTGAGATCTTGGACTTGGTGGTTGGAAACATGTGTACTGTATATATATATATATTGTGATATAAATATAATAGATAAAATAGATATCAATAAAATAAAGTGTATTTATAATATATATACATGCATATCATATATTGTATATGCATACATATATTCTTTACAATAGATGACATTTGGTCTTAGCCTAAATCAACAAAACACTTACCAAGATGTGGATCATCAGGATAGGACTTGGCTGAAAATGTGGATTTTACATTATTGAGCTAGATAAATTTACATAATCACCTGAATGTCGCATCATTTCTCAACAAAGAGACCCTCATCACCAAAAAAAAATGGAGTTTTTGTCAAATGGCCCATCACCACAGCATGGAGGGTTAACAACTCACTTCCAACACCGAAAATCAACTCACTCCCAACACCGACTCACTCCCAACACCAAGAACTCACTCCCAACACCAAAAATCAACTCACTTCCAACACAAAAAGCACTTTTCGGCGTCGAGGGCGAGTCGATTTTCCATTTCCCCATTGGTACTGAGGCGTCACTTCTGGAACCCCATCATAAACAAACATTACACGGCAAATGATCAACACTGAGAAACCCTTCAAGGGGATTCAACCCTTTAGGTTGGGGGGGGGGAACCATCAGGGTACCGTACAGGCGGAATGATCAACACTGATAAACCCTTCAGGTGGGTGTGGGGGGGGTGGGGGTGGGGTGGGTGGGGGGGGGGGGTGGGGTGGGCTGATAACGTTCATGTTCCTATGCACACACAGGCACAGCAACCTCATCAGCTTTCTTGCTGTTGAGCAGAGACAGGCACAGCTCTTTCATGATCAGTTACCGGTGGGGTGGGGTGAGTGAATAAGGTTCATGTTCCTATGCCTGCACACGCACAGCAACCTCATCATCTTTCTTGCTGTAGAGCACTTACACGCACTGCTCTTTCATGATCAGTTAGCCGTGGGGTGGGGTGGGGTGGGGTGGGATGATAACGTTCATGTTCCTATGCCCACACAGGCACAGCAACCTCATCATCTTTCTTGCTGTTGGGAAGAGACAGGCACAGCTCTTTCATGATCAGTTATCGGTGGGGTGGGGTGAGTTAATAAGGTTCATGTTCCTATGCCTGCACACGCACAGCAACCTCATCATCTTTCTTGCTGTAGAGCACTTACACGCACTGCTCTTTCATGATCAGTTACCCTTGGGGTGGGGTGGGGTGGGGTGGGGTGGGATGATAACGTTCATGTTCCTATGCACACACAGGCACAGCAACCTCATCATCTTTCTTCCCGTAGAGCAGAGACAGGCACAGCTCTTTCATGATCAGTTACCGGTGGGGTGGGGTGAGTTAATAAGGTTCATGTTCCTATGCCTGCACACGCACAGCAACCTCATCATCTTTCTTGCTGTAGAGCACTTACACGCACTGCTCTTTCATGATCGGTTACCCGTGGGGTGGGGTGAGTTAATAAGGCTCATGTTCCTATGCATACACACGCACAGCAACCTCATCATCTTTCTTCCCGTAGAGCAGAGACAGGCACAGCTCTTTCATGATCAGTTACCGGTGGGGTGGGGTGAGTTAATAAGGCTCATGTTCCTATGCATACAGACGCACAGCAACCTCATCATCTTTCCCGAGAATATATATATATATACATATGTATTTCTTAACTATATGTATGTAGATTTAAAAATATATATATATAAATAATTATATTTATAATTATATATAAATAAACACATATATATATATTTATTTATATATATATATTGATACTAAGGTAATTAGTCTGGTACATGGTTGTAGTAGTAGTGGTGGTTGTTGTTGTAATAGAAGTAGTCTTAGTAGAAAGTAGTAGAAGTAGAAGTAGAAGTAGAAGTAGTAGTAGTAGCAGTAGTAGTAGTAGTACTAGTACTAGTACGAGAAGTAGTAGTAGTAGTAGTCGTCGTCGTCGTCGTCGTCGTCATCGCTGCTGCTGGTGTTGTTGTTGTTGTTGTTGTTGTTGTTGTTGTTGTTGGTGTTGTTGGTGTTGTTGTTGTTGTTGTTGTTGTTGTTGTTGTTTTTGTTGTTGTTGATGTTCCTGTTGGCATTGATGTTGATGTGAATGTTGATGATGTTGTTGTGGTTGTTAATGTTTTCGTTTTGTCGATTTGGAGACTGCTGTTGATTTTGTTCTTGTTGTTGATGTTATCATGTTGTCGATGTCAGTAAAGAGGCGTCGAGAGCGAGTCGATTTTCGGCGCTGAAAGCGAGTTGATTTTCGGCGTCGGGAGCGAGGTGCCGACCCAGCATGGCATAGACTGAGATTCAGACTTTCAGCTTGAGCCCATAAAGACAACGGCATAAAACGACCGCTGAAGACCGAGTGCTTTCGCTCTCGCTGCTCTCGCTCGAGGCCTCCGATCGCAGGAAAAATAGGTGTGGCTGCTTGGAAAATGGGAATGTGTTAACCAAGAATGAGCAAAAATCAGGATATTTCACCTATAACAATTGGGATCACTGAGTTATATCCATATTGTATGTATATAACTACCAACCAAAACTTGGGGATATGCCACCAACCGTTTGAATGATGGAAATAATAATATAAGGTAGGGACAGAACCAACACCAACGATGGGCTCAGCGATGAGTGTGACTGCTTCTTTAGTTGAACGCAAAGAAGATTTGGGCCACTTCAGTGGGACCCACTCCCCTGATGTTACTTTGTTCCCGCCGAACAAGAACAGAACGGAACAGAAAGGATAAAAGTATAGCAAACCCCCAAAAAAAGATGGAAAAGTTATTTACTGCCAAATTTTTGAGGATTGGACTTCGCCGAGTTTCCTACTTTCTGCCTTCTGGGGGGGTTGCGATTGACTCAGCCAGGCCTTCTTTTCCGTTGGTTGGCTCGGGACTTACCAGGGTGGCCAGAGCTGCCCCTGGCAGCAGGGATCCCAAAACAGAGGTGAGTTGTTTTATAACCAATACTACAGTACTACTATTCATCATGGATATATCTATAGTCTACAGTTAGCTGGGATGTGTGTGTGTGTGTGTTTGTTTGTTTCTAGCACAGCTTTTTAACCAACTGTTGGGGGGTTGAGTGTTGAACTTCCAAAAACTCTCGCTAGAGCCAGCTCAAGGCCCCAGATGATCAAACGTGATGATCACTTCTGCCTCTGAATGCTCTGAAAATGTTGAATCCCAAACCGATACAGTAGATTGATGTTACTATTGTTATTCTTGCTATTGCTATCGTTATCCGTAGCATTAATATTGTTGTTGATCTATATCTACATATCTATACATATACTTACATGTGTATAAATATATATATATATGCAATATGCATGCATGCATGCATGCATGCATGCATACATACATACATACATACATAATTACATTACATTACATTACATTACATTACATTACATTACATACATACATACATATATATATACATGTATATGCCTTTTATATGCATTGTATGAATATACCTCCGGCTAAACATATAGAAACAATCCACCAGCCATTGCCTCCGCTACTCACGCGGCTGCCAGCCGCTGCCATGGCAGAACGCGCACCAGAGGCTGCACCTTCCGACAGCTGCCCCGTTGGGGATATGTTTAAGGGGTATATTTGGAAGATATGTTGCGGATTGATTGGGGATTTATCGAAATTTGTTGGGTGTATGATATGTATGTATATATACATATATATGTATGTATGTATTTGGTGATGCATCATTTGAGTAAGGAGATGTGTTGGGGATTCGGGAATGAAATGTGTTGCGCACTGCTTTTGGGTGAACTATTTGGGGAATCATTCACCTTGGGGGAGACAATGAAGAAATCCTTGCGGTTTTTAGTATATATGTTGTGGACTAATTATTTATCACCCATGGGGATGTATGAGCCGTAAAAAGAAAAGCGTGATATCTATTGGGTATGTATATATATATACACGTATATACGTATATTCAGGTGACTTATTCGGTGTCATGGCTTCGCTTGGTGAATGATTTCAGTTCCGTTGAAACTCCTGAAGTCTCACTGGACAACTAAATACCCCCTAATGTTGTGCCAATAGAATTGGGGCCAAAAAAAATGACAGCAAAATAACCACATATATAAAAAAAAAAACTCCAATTGGAATGGTTTGTACAACCCATCTTTGTTCAAATTTGTGATGGTTTATGGTGTGTACTACAATCACCAACCATCCCCAAAAGTGATGGCTTCAAACCATCCCAACAAATAAACCGGCCACCGTGGATCACCAAAATCATGGTTGAACACAAAAAAAAACAACAAATGAATATCTGGTGACAACCATGGTTAAGCAAGGTTTAAATGTGGATTTTCTGAATATCTGCGATATGTTGTGGATCACAACCTGGTTAAAATGTGGATTTTTCTGAATATCTGGGATACCCCATGTTGTTGCAATGTCCTGGGGAAAATGATGATAAACTATTGGATTTTAGATGCACCGCAATTTGGGGAAAACCCACATGGCTGTGCCTCAAAAACAAGCTGGGCACATTTCATCCTTTTCTGGACCTTGAACCATCTATTTTGGGTGCTTTTGAATTTTGCCCCACATCAGCATCCAATGACTGACCATTTGCGGGTGGTAGAACAGCATACCGTAATACCTAATTGGTGCTGACTATTGGCTGATTCTTGGTACCAAACAATTTCAGCACTTCGATGTCACTAGATTCACTAGATGTCAATATTTAAACAACGTCATGGTTGCTCCCGACTTTCTTTCACCGAATTGATGTAGGTATCACACAAAAATTGGTTAAAAAAACATGGTTCCCACTGGCTCCCGTCCATTCAATCCATTGCTTGGACTATAAAAATGGTCGATGTCCCATTGAAAACACGCATGGTCATCATCAACAATGGGACATTCACCACTTATATTCACCATTATTCCCATCATCCCCACATTAAACACGGTGAATATCCCATTGTTGATGAACCTCCAGATAAAGATGTCCATAAATAAAACCCATTAAAAAAAAAAAAAAAAACATCTTCCCCATCAAATCCATAGGATAATGATGAACTCCTAGATATTCCCCACAAAAAAAACCCTCCAACAAAACTGTCGCCTGTCCAGGCTGCAGCGGCTGCAGCTGCCGCAGCTGCCGCCCTCGGAAATCGGCTGACGATTCCCTCAAGTGACGTGTCCAACAGTCATGTTTCATCATGGTTTATCCACATTTGCTACAGGATGGGGCCCCCAAGATAGCTAAGTTGCCTTATAAGTGGCTTAGCTATGGTTTATGGTAGATATAACTATTGTTAATGGAGGTTATATTGGTTTATAAACCAACAAACATCACTGGGGGGCCCCATCCTGTATGGTTTTCCATGGTTTTTCCCGTTTCGCCGCACGAAAAAAATCCGTTCAACCCCAGCCGGCGGAACCTGCTCCTCGACGGCGGCGGGCTGGCGCCCGGCGTCATCGCCGGCGCCGGCGTGGCCGGTGCGATGGGTGGCGATGGCAATGGCGTGACCGGGGTGTCCTCGCGGAGGAATCCATTTTGGGAAGATCATACAGGATGGTGCCCCCCCAGTTATAAGTTGGTTTATAAATCCCATTAACTATAGTTATATCTGCCATGTTTACCATAGTTAATCGGATGATGGGGAAATACAGGAAAACCCTATATTTGATGGTAAAAAGCCATGGGTTTCCAGTTAAGATTTTCCTGGATCTACGGGGCATTATGGAAATGGGGGCTTTTTAAGGCACTAAAGTGGATCTTTATGGATCACTGAATCAAAACCAAAACGTCCCAAAAACAGCGAATAAGTGAATAAGATTGAATTTTTGGGGGTTATGCTTTGTTGATCATTACGCATACAAATCACCATGTTTTTTTTAGCTATCCACCACTTCAATGTTGGCTGAGTGTGATACCTGGCAGGTGGGTTGTATCATTCAGGGGGTCGAAATGGTGGAAATCAATATTGGATGGGATTGCCACCATTGGTTTGTCGTTGTTACTATCTCCCAGGACTGGTCATATGAGTCATATGCGCCAATCTATTGCAAAAAAGCAGCACTGACTCAATGACCAAAAACGAAATAGTTTTCCTGATACTCCCCATATCTGATACTCCCCATATGTACGGCTGAATATCATCAATAATCTCCAGCTGCCAAAGAAATTCCACAAAAAAAAGCCAAACCAATGGCCGCTGCGAGGCGGAAAGAAACAGCTCCTCGTCCACATATCGTCCAGTAACCATGGTCACAGGGGCCGAAGTGGAGACCTCTGAAAAAGCCCAACGGGTGCTGGATCTGCTGAAAAACCACCAGCGGAACGTCCAGTTTTTTGCCTTGGAATAGGGGGTCGACACCAAAGCTTTACCAATAATTTGGCGTTGAAAAGTCCATGATGAAACAGATAGACCAGTGGATTCTGAGGATATTCAAAAAAAAACACATTTTGGGCCTCCATTCGTCAAATTGCTCTCCCAAGCCTTCTCCGCGTGTTTCTCTTTGGGAGGAGGCCATTGTGCCACCTGACCATCTATCCAATTGATGATGATAAATAGGGATCGTTAGTTGATATATGATTGATGGATATATCCACTCGATGATCAAATATGATCCAATTGACAGTTTGATATATGATCAAATTATTCTCAATCATATATCAATTAGATAGATGATTCATCAATGATCATATGTATATAATTCTATATATATATATATATAGAGCCACATTATCAACCAATTGATTCATGGATAGATCTTGGCCTAAAAAACCAGCCATGATGGTTCCGGATCGCCTCCAAAGCGGCCAAGGCCTCCTCATCACTGATGCGCCTTGGGGAGCGTCTGGAGTCTGGGGTTGGGGGAGATTGTTCCATTGATCAAAGAAAGGCTGGTTGAACTAATGGGATTTAATGGGATTTAATGGGATTTAATGGGATTTAATGGGACTTAATGACTTAATGGATAACTCGGCATACTGAGATTTAATTTACGAATTGAACACCAAAGATTGATATTTAACTCGTACCACTGGGTCTTAAAGAAATATACGGTCGGCTACAAGTGTGGATTTCCATGTGGGGTTGTTCTATGTATATCAAAATAGTAATAATGGAGGAGGACCAAAAAGACACAAAGGATCTAAAAGGGGTATCGGATAAATGATGCATATCCGACACTTGGTTCGATCAAAATGGTGGTGGTAGCTGCTTCCCCCTTCAGAATAAACTCAAAAACTTCCACTTGCTCCGTAAGGCCGCAGGGTTTAACGGTTTACAAATAATGCCCGCAACGGCAGTGTAGCTGTGTCATCCCACCACTAAAAATCAGTTTGTCTCAATGTTGAAAAGTTCTTGGAGGCCTATCAGAACGCCCAAAAAGAACCAGTTGTTCCAGCTCTTCCACACAGATTCTGGTCGAAAAAATATCCGCACAGAAAATGATTCAGTGATGTTATTTCTCCAAGCCATGTCACGGAGAACCCTTGGCCGACTTGGAGGATGAACCGGAGCTGCGCCTGTCAATTTGGGGATACAACTAGTTTCAGAGAAACCCATGTTCATGTTTCTAGTTGTATATGTTCATGAAAAATATACAGTATATATATATATTATATGCATCATATATCTAATATTCTATATGTACATGGAGATGTCACATTTTTGCGCATATGACAAACAGTGAGGACAGTCATGTATATTTGAAACATAGTGTGTATGCACATTTCTTTGAGATGACATATGACATATGTGTATATCTGAGCAGCCTGTGCCAGTTGAATCCAAGCCCTTGGTTAACGTTCCAACTCCAGTTTATGGGGTCAAAGCAAGGGTGTAAGAGTCATGGAGATTCTAGACATGCATAGATACAAATACACAAACCAAGCCCTGTGCAATGCTTGGTGAGATCCCGAAAGTCAGAAGCAACACATCAGGAGCAAACATTCGCAGCGCCATCAAATTTGTCAAGGGGAACAACTCCAGCAATCACATTGTTGTGCTCTATTGGTGTATTTGAAAATGAGATTCGTGCGTTACTAAACACGACATAACACGACCAACCACTGATGCAAATGTATGATGTAGAACCCCAAAACAATGAACCCTTGGAATCTGTTGGATAATCCCAAAGGAGAGGGTCACCCCATCGCGCCGCCTCTCTGTCTTCTTGTCCTAGAGGTTGAAAGGGTGAGTCCACATGGGAAATGAAAGCAGGAGACAGCCGATGAATAGATTCTAGGATTGATCCCAAACTCAAAACAACGTTGCCTGCATCGTAGGCAACGTCCGCGCTGCAAAACGAAGCTACTAGGCCCATGTTCCACTCTTTCAAATCACTGGTGAAGACATTGAAAATGCGCAAGCGGAAACATCCAAAGCTTTCCCCGGTGTTGCCCCAGCTTGAACGTCCTCGATCTCCAGCTCTATGTGGACATCCTGCAATCATGGGACGTTTCTACAAAACTCCTTCAGATGGGCGTATCCAAAAATAGACCACCCAAAAAATCCATGGTGTATTTATAAAAATGTCATAATGTCATAATGGTTTCCAATCTGCAGGGCCAACACATTGCGTATACCGTACCCTTTCTTTGGACAAACCCAAATGACACAACCACATCCCCAGTGTGGTGGACTTCACGTTTGGGTATGGCAGCCCAAAGTGAGGTACCGCCAGAACCACATCCATTGACCGTCCAATTTCTTCTGGGGTCAATCGGAGTGAATCCTCTTCTATTTTCAGTCGGAGTTCTGTAACCCTGGATAAATCATTTATTGCTATTGAGTTATATACTATTATCATTCACTATTCAACAATCTGAAAGACGGTGATTTGGGGATAGTTCCCCTTAGTAAGCATTATTTTGAGATATTTTGAGTGACGTCGCAGTGAGGTCGTTACAATTGTCACCCATATCCCCACGTTGATTGACTTACTCCCATCAAAGCCATAGCCATTTCGGTCCCTTTCTGCCTGGACATTCGACTCAGAGGTGCCACTCGCGGATTTTGATCCAGCGGGAGCCTCTGAAGGGACGTTACCTGAAAGGCATGATGTTTGTGGTGGACGCCAAACTCCGTCTTCTGGTTCTGTATTTCATTTTGGTGTTTGATATAAAACAATAAGTATATACAGTTAGTTATATACATATGTAATCAACCCCATTCAGTTCTGTTTTTAACGGCTTCCTCAAAAATCTTCCGTTGCAAACAGAAAGAAAGTCGTTTTTCAAGTCAGGGCAGCTATAACCATGCTGTCAGTTCAGCTGACTGTGGTGATCCCTGAGCGGGGCACTGGCTGAAGTTTCCACTTCCTTCTCCTGTCAGCGTCTGCGGTGAATATTCAAGAGCTATGTGGCTATGTGAGCTGTCTATTCAAGGCTGCAAATTGAACATCTTAGATTCATTGGTATCATTGGTTGATTTGAAGGGTCCCTAGTTTGATACAGCTCATAACATCAGCAACTTCGCCCCACGAAGAAACCTCCCACTGAAGTGGCTGGATGCAATCGGTTGTAACTGGGACAGTTGCAGAGCACCTTGCGAACCTATCGTCAGGATTTAAAACATTTATCAGCCTTAGTCTTGGCTATGGGTTTGTCTGAAAATAGGGTGCGGATAACTCAACTGATTCATCATCACTCCATAATGAAAGATATCACCACTTCACCGGTGCAAAGGTCTACCGTGGGAATTCAGGATGTCTTCCATCGGCCTTGGGGTAGTCAAGCAATCATTCCATGGCCATTCCCCTTGGGTTTCACTGAAAATAAGGAATCCCAAAATCCAATGGCTAATCCCCATCTTCCCCTTTAAAATGCCTTCATGGGTGTATATGGTATGCGGTATACCCATGTATACCCCATGTTCAGCCACGCCCAGTTGGGTTTTTAGATTATCGGTATTTATGAATTGGATTGAACCATCCCTAGAATGGACCGTGCCCAAAATGGATGTGCATCCCATGTTCTTACTGATGCTGCTTCATAATCTCAAATCAGGGTGTCCTGTGGGTCTGTCTACCATCCATCGAATCTCATAAATCTGACATGTTGTGAAATATCTCATAATCATCATAATCTCTACCTTTTTTTTCCATACGCTTGTGAAATCCACCACCAAAAGGATAACTGTGGATGGTTGGAACCCCCTCGAAATCCACGGGAACCACCCATCTGCACCTCTCTGGGAGGCAGGGGTCCGGCTCCAGTAGAGAGGCGGTTTCGGTTGGGGCTCTCCTTCGCCAATGGATGGATGACTTCGCCCAGCCCATGGTATCCCAGGTGGAAATTTGAGCAAGCCACGGTGATTTTCCTTCCACCAGAAGTTGCTTTGTCTGAAAGTGTTTGGGAAAAAACATGGAAAAACCAAAGCCAAATTGCATGGTTTATGATCACTTTCTCTCTGAAATTGGCAATTTCGATGTACACCGGACTTTTGGACAAACCTAAATGGCGATTCAACCAACCAAAATCGAATATATAAGATAAAGATTTTGGATTGCCGATCTTGGATTGAAGGAAATTTCACAGAAAGCCATGGACTCAGCAGCCAAATGTAGGTGTTTTCTTGTCAATGTTCGATTCTGGGATGGGGAGAACGGGCACTTCCTTTGCTTTTTGGGTTTCCTGGGCGTTTTCCTCACATGGGTAGACCACCAACAGACCTCAGGTGCCACGTTGGAATCCACCCCCACGAAGTGGACGGACTTGAGCTGCGGCTTTAAAACAGGCTGTTCCTCCTGGCGCCAATGTTGACAGAAGAATTTGGGAGGGTTGGGAGGGTTTCCTCTCAAAAGCACAGCTCTTTTGAGCCCAAATGTCCCATGCGGTGCTTCGATCCTCCACAATCTGTCTTTCCTCCCAGTCCCAGTTCCATCCTCATGCACCATCGCAAAAACCAGGTGTTTCTGCTTCAGCTGGTTGGTGGGCGTCACAATGACCGCCTGCTCCACCTGTCAGCGGGTCTGCTCCAAAGTTAAGGGGTGGCAAAGATTATCTCAATCGGTGGCATGACCCATCTGGCAAATCCCAATTTATACAGCGCTATTCTAATTTTTGTCCAGGTCAACCTCAATTTTTACCAGGTGAAACTCAAGTGTACTCTTGACACCCCCAGTTTTTACCAGCTAAATCATTCACGTTTTTCCCTTCATCAATCCCCCCACCTGTTCAATCTCAAGATCCTCCAAGCTGATCAACGGCGCGCTGCGGGAGCCCCTGCGGTCCGCCCTCGCCACGGTGGTCACCGTCGGCGCCGCCGACGGCCGTCCCGAGCCCGGCGAACGGCTCGCGAGGCCATCGCTGATGGATTCCCGGTCGCTGGCGGTGCGCGCCAAGGTGCGCTCCGGGTGCTCCAATTGGAGGACCTGGCAATGGTTGGACGGAATGAATTTTCTACAAATCGGACAGGAACTCTAGAGATGTGGTTGGGAATGATTGATTTTTTTTTATCAAATAAAATAACACTGCGACATGGCATGGCATAGATATGCGATGCTAAAATGATTCGATTGGGAAAATGGCAGACAAAACCATCCTACCTCTGCATTTTGGGAGACATATGGCCTGCTGAGTTGATCCCCTCCAGCTCAACCCACTGGATCCTGCCTCAGGCTCTGTATGAACCTGGCGGGCTTGCCGGTGATTTTTCTTGTGCCAAGCGAAATGTCCAACAAACTTACACAGAGTGTGCCCGAAAGGAGTGCGTTTTGTCGACTATTTCCTCTGAAAGGTGCAACTCCATGCAGCTTGCCATGGATTTAAGTGATTTTTCAGTCAGGAATACGCAGTAGAACCAATTGCAGATTTGGTTGATGAAACTGAATAAACTGAATCAACCAATTGCCATTGACTGAGCCATTTGTTTGTCGCAAGAAATGGAGCAAACTGCTCACTGAGGCCAGCCTTAAGGGAACGACCTCGGTGTCATGGCGGAGACCCAGTCGTCACCAGGGGTTTGGGGTACTCTATGGTACTCTCATGACTCTGTTTACAACATCCATAAACGAAAAAAACCCTCTGGTTATGACTAACATAGCCATGGAAAATCCCCAAAATAAATGGAGGTTTCTAGCTGGGAAAATCATCTATTTCTATGGGTCATCTATACCATGGCTATGTTAAATAGCCAGAGGGGAATTGTTTCACATCGTGTGGCATTGTGAAGGAAACACACACGACACTCTCCAGGCGCTTTCACCAGAAATGGGGATGGGACAGATTTTGGACCACGCAAAAACCTGGGCTTCCATGCCATCTGCATCTGTCAACCTGTGCCCAGCTCAGGGATTTGTTTCGCGTTGCAGGATTAGGGTCATGATACATATTACCAAAGTTTGATGGGGATATCTATATATAATCTATATATATATAAGTCAACTTCTAACTGGCACCACTTTGACCAAAAGTTCGGATGATCTGGTGGTTTTCAACGCGTTTCCTATCCAAGGACACATCTCGACTGTGGCCCATCCACTGCTCTCAGCGCCGAGCTTCGAAGTGAAATGACTAAAGTGACTATAGTCGGTGTCCTGGGCACCCCCAATGCACTGGGAGGGTTCACCGATCTATGGACCTTGGCTTCCTGAGACCCAAATGGCACCAGGCTCCTGCGCGTCCACTAAGTTGCCATAGGATGCGGCCTCGCCGCCAGCACTGCTGCCCTGGCACAAGAATGGGTGGAGCCCCTGCCAAACTGAGACCAACGGCTCCACATCCTGCCTTCCGGGAGTGACCATAAGAACTCTCCTTGACACAATGAGTTGAGTCCTTCTGGAGCAAACCAACAGTCATCCGAGGTTCCAACAGCCAGGCCAAAGGACCGGGACCTGGCGAAAATTCCAATGTCTGCTGCTTCTGGGACCCAAGGCTTCATGGGTAAAATTCCATTTTTTCCTGGTTTCTGTAAAGCTGCGATTTGATGGCTATATAAATCCCCACGGTTCATATGTTTTCCCTTGTTCAACCTCCCGGCTGAGGCCACTACTGCGCCATGGCGTCAGATCTCGTGGTGGGCGAAAGGGAAAAGGCCGCCTCATGCTGGGGCGAATTTCAGCCTTTTATGGAGGTGTCGTTCGC